TCTTGCAAATGCAACAAAGAGTGTTGAGGCTTTGTATCCATAACATCTATCAAAATCAAGATAAACAATTGTAAGATCCATGAAAGATGATGACCACTTCTTGTGAAACTTATTCCTAAAAAGAAGAGTAATATCATAAATACATATATTTATTTCAATAGTTTCTAATAAAATTAAATATAATTAATTAAATTAAATAAATTTCATAATATCTTTTAAAAAAACTCTTAAAAAGCTTCATAGATACTACTTTGACTTTATGTGTATTTATAATTAATTAATAGACTAAAAACTTTGTCAATAAATTAGCCAAATGATACACATATTAGTAGCTTATAGAACAAACTAAATATGTGATATACATATAGATAACTTATCTTGCAAGTTAAATCATATATGTAGCAAAGTCAACATGTGTTGGAAATTTTATAATATATTACCATATAACTTTAGTTAGAAAGTATATATAGAAGCAAGAGTAAAGCCCTCTTCACTCTTATCAATGCTTTTCTAGTCTTTAGTCTTGTTTCAAGACTTTCTAGTCTTCTTATCTTTGACAATAGCTATTCTAGTTTAGTATATTATCATCTTTGAGTGATTTTTTAGTCTTTTTGAGTAACATAAGAATATATTGAGGATTTCTTTTTTCAAGATTCATATCCTTGATAATTTAACAAAAGTGCAACTTATTATTCTAGTCTTATTTTATAAAAAAAGAATGACACTTGGAAGTAAAATGAAGTAATAGATTTAGAATATAAGACACTTATTGACAACATGACGAGGACTTTGATATTTTTATTTATAGATAGAAGATCTAATAGATGCAAGTAGATTATTAAAGTTGAATATAATGCAAATAGTTTAATGGAGTTCTATAAGGCAAGACTTATTACTAATAGTTATGCACAAAAACAAATAAATAAATGAAATCATTGACTATAATTAAAAAAATATCTATTTAAAAAAATGACCATAATTTATAAACTTCTTAGATTTGTTGCAGGTGAAGATTTAAAAGTTCAAAAAATAGATGTGAAGATAATATTTTTAAATAGATATCTTAAAAAAGAGATATATATAGAGTAATTTAAAAGCTATAGCTTAAAAAAATAAAAAAATCTTTGGTCTATAATTTTATGTAGGCTTAAGTAATTTTAAATGATATAAAAAAAAATAGATGGATTTTTTTTTATAAAGTTTAAAGAGAAGCCATGTAGATCTTAATATCTATTTATTAAAGAATTCTCATTAAGATATTATTATGTCATTATATATAGATGAATTAATCATTAACTATAATAAAAACGGACTTATTTTGAAAAGAATGAGCCTTAAGATTTAAAATCAAAGATTTGAGAGAAATTCATTACATCTTAGGCATACAAATTATAAGAGACCAAAGTGCCATATAATTTATTTCAATAAAGAAAAATATTTAAAAACATTCTTTAGATTTGTCATGAAATATTATAAAATTTTATCTAAATTTCTTAATTCTAATAAAAAATTATTATAAGACATGAATCTACAAATTTATGATGAAATTAAAGCAATAGTAGATGTTATATATCAAATTGCAATTGGTAGCTTAGTTTATGTAATGATATGTATTTGAATTGATATTGCATATATATATATATATATATAGATACATATATATATGTTTGGAGTTATATGTCAATACATGATAAATCTATGCCTATAGCATTAAATAAATATTAAATAAGTTTTATTAATATATAAAAGGTATATTAAATTACATGCTCTAATTTGATAGAAGCTCTTTGAATTTTCAAGTGGTTGATTATTACAATACAAATTATGTAAGATAAACTTAATGTTCAAATATCAGCCATGGATTTTTATTGGTGGAAGGTGTTATTAATTGGAATAGCAAGAAGCAATTAACAATTACATTGTCTACTACCAAAGCGAAAAATACATGGCTGCTACTCAAGCTATAAAAGAAACATTTTGGCTTCAGAAATTATTCAAAGACATAGAATTTTTGGAAGTTAGTCCTATGACTATTATCAATAATAATAAGAGTTATATCTTTCTTTTAAAGAATCTTATGTTCTATTCTTATACTATGCATATTGAAATTCAACATTACTTTATTTGTGAGAATATTAAAAATGACAAGAGTAACTTGATTTTTTGCAAAACTTAAGACATAGTTGTGGTTGTTTTGATCAAAGATCTAACTAATGAAAAACATTTTAAATTCAAGAAAATTATAAAAATCATCGAATTAAATTATTTTCATATGTCATCAAATGAAAGTGTTCAAAGAATGCTTACATACATATATAATACCTACTAGATATTATGTGTTTGACTTGTACATAGACAATTGAAATAAAATTATCATTAATTGAAAACTTATAGCAATTATAAGTTGGTAGTATTACCATATGGCCATAAATAGCATAATAAGGTAGTTATTTCTAAGTCAAATGGACTTTAGCGGTATGTCTCTTATTAATGTGTTTTCATTAAACAATCCTTGTCATTAGACTATAGACTTATACTATAAGAGCCCAAAGCTGAGATTTAATTTGAATGATTAGTTCTCTTGAATCTTCCTTGATTAGATGGTAAACTCATTTATATTTACATTGTTATACTTCTATCTTAGTTATATATTTTATTATATTTTATTATATTTTATTATAAATTTAATATATAATTATAATTATAATTATATTATGCATAATATGCAGCCTATATCTTATTTCTTATATAAGTTTTAGTCATAGTTTTTCTTTTTTTAATTTGAACGATTAATGCTATCAAATTTTATGTTTTTTGTGATCTAATTCAAATAAAAGATAATAATTTTATACTTTTTATACATAATAATGTATATTACTTCTATAGAGAAGAAAAATTTATATTGAATTAATAATTATCAATATTATTTATTCTTAAAAAATTATGTAAATAATATAAATTTAAATATTAATTATATAGTTTTAAAATAATAAATAGAACAAATTGAAATTAATTACTTTAATGCACGTTTAATCTCCTCAAACAAATTTGTATGGAGAAGAGCAAATATAAGCACCAAAAGACAAGTATATGTTTTAAAAGACATATGAGAATGCAAATAATAAATATGCATGATGAATGTTTGCATTTAAATTTGGTAAACAAAAACGTGAATATGTTTACATTCTTATTTTTCTTGATATAACATACAAATAAACATTAATGTAGAGAAAAAAAATACTCATTTTTTCTACTTCATTATATTTGATTGTGTGGAAATATCTTTACATTCACATAGATTGTACTTAAGATGTGTCGTCTTCTATTGCAAATAAAAAATGTCATTACTTTATGATATCATGGCATGCATGTGCCTTAAAAGATTTTATCTAGAAAATAAATTAAATAATTAAATAAATAAGAGTATAAAATTTCATTCAGGAGCAAGTTAATCATGAGCATCACAACATTAAATAGTAATTCAATTAGCTCGTTACAAACTTCAATTTAGTCATAACAATCAGTTTTAGATGGAAAATTATTTAACTGTCGCTACATCAAATATTTCAACTTTTATTAGTTTCAAACACTACATAGACGTGTAAGCAAGACATGAAATGAACTACCCAATTGAGGGATTGATTAGTAATATAACCACTTTCAAAATAGCCCCAATGTTATCACTTTTTTATTTTTTATTTATTTATTTATTTTGCTACAGTCTCCTTCATGGAAATAGTAGGACCTTTCAGGGCCAAAAGAGGGTACCAATGAACCATACCACTAAACAATATAGCTTGGTGAAATTGTTTTCATCATTTCTTGATCGTCTACTCCAAATATTGTTGTTATGAACATAATTGAAACATCCATGAATAGAAAATGTCATTATAATCTAAATTTGATTTACTATGTTACTAGAATAATACAACAAAGTTTTATTTTTATTTTTATTTTTATATTTACTATAGTCTAATGTTTTATTTCTATTTTGTGATTTGTTTTCCATGTAGCACCAATCTATAAACCTGCCATAATGTTGATGTTTCCATGGTATTTTTCGTTATTTTTAAATATTTGGCTACATATATTTGGCTTCTTCTATGTTTTCTGTGCAATGACACAGCTCTTTACTTTTTCTTCCGAATATTAATTAATCAAAGTCAATATGAAAGAACAACTCTTCATGCTTTCTCAACATGTATTATATATATTAATTAATCAAAGTCAACATGTATTATATATATTAAAACAAAACTTGTAAAATTAAATATATATAAAAGTTTATCATATGATAAAATTTTAAAGTATACAGGTGACTTTTAAGATTTATCAACTTTCAAAATCCGAATGTGACTTAGTTTTTAATTAATTTATTATTATTATCATTATTATTATTTTTATATATTTTCATTGTGAAATATAAATATATTAGACACACATTCTGATATTTGTATAGTATTCAATTTAAAATTTTTCAGAGTAATTAAAATTTGATACTATATTAAATATTTATATCATGATAAATACCACTTAATTATTGTAATTGAAATTATATTAACTACAATAACATCACACGTGAATATTAACAAAGAATAAGATTTATTTTTGGGCATTTTGGATCCTTTCCAAAAAAATTACATTTCAAAAATGGTGTGTGAGTCAGGATAATACAGATATATGAAAATTTTGGTGAACTTTTACATCCTAACACAAGATTTAGATATAATCCTTGAACATCTTTTGTATAATAAATAACTTAAGTGGGTTGCAACAAGCACGGGGAGGAGTCAAGTTGGCCACTCAAAATCATTTAGTTATTCATCCATCGATGGCTTCATCCATTGCAGGCCGCGGCGTCAAGTTGGAGGAACGAGGCGGGTGTCAATCTCAAAAACGGGGATCAGTTGAATGAAGGGTATATGAATAGTAGGAGGGTATCATCCGAGACGGCGACGTGGGTAGGTATCAGGGGGGAGGCAGAACCCAAAACCTCTATGGACCCCTAGTCGAGGGGTGTGGCTCTCACCCCGCCGCCTCAGGGAAGCGACTCTCCAAGGGAGGATATCTGGCATCCAACTGATGACGCTGCGATCATCGTCGCTCTCGAGGCTGCGATTCTGAAGATGCTGCTTCTCAGCCGCTCTCCAACGGTACCCTAGTTGTGCCGAACGGTGCAGAGGCCAGAGCGGGGGCTGCATTGGGGCGCACAGAGTGCGGGTTTCGATTGTGGGTGGAGAGGGAGCGGTTGGTGAAGGGCGCGGCGTTTGAGAGCCGGATTCATGGTGGGGGAAGAAAGTTCATGCTGGTTGTGAGTGTGTGGATTAGAGGGAGGGAGGGACGCAGCGATCGATCGAGGTTAGGGGAGGGAGATGGGGGCGGCGGCGGTGGAGGTGGAGGCGGCGAGGCCCAGGAACGGAAGTGCAGGGATTTTGGAGAAGAAACACCGGATGGGTGCTGATGCCGCCTCGCAGAGCGGCCCGTGGTTGGCGAGTGCTGGAGCTGCTCCTCGCCGCGTGAATTTCCGACCCGCTTTGAACAAGGATCAGGGCATGCTCTTGCCCTACCAACATCCCTCGTCATCGTCACTACCTCGTCCTCTGAATTCTGTCATGGCTGCTAAGAGTAACAACCGGGCATGCCCTACTGCCGCCTCGCCTCCCATTCACGAGCCCCTCTCCTGGACGCCTGCTCCGAGGATTGTACGTCTTTCTCGGATTTTGTGGAGATTCTGATGGGAGTGATGTTGATGCCTCACAATGCCAATGTCTTAGGTTTTTTCGTGGTTACCTCTCTCTTCTCGGAATTGATACCTTGATGTGGCTAACATATGACACACTCTTCTGATAAGCGTTCGTTTCTGGATGGGAATATGCAGGGTGCGGGCCTATCAAATTTGGGTAATACTTGTTTCCTGAACTCGGTGCTTCAGTGCCTCACATACACTCCGCCACTTGCTGGATATCTCGACAGTGGGCAGCACAAAGCTACCTGTAAGCTACAGAACTGAAGATGCAGTAGTCTCCAGTTTTTCGACATCGTATGTATTCTCGAGTACATTAGAGGCGATTGTTTTTGAGTGTTTAGTTGTAGAAGTAATCTGGATTTAGATGTTCTGAGAAGCCGTATTTTTATGGTAGGGGGTGTATGTTAGTTTACGCATGTCGTGTCGATTGTGTGCTGTTGGAGCATATGTTAGTTTGATGTAGTTTCTGGCGCCTTCTTCAAAGAAATTGGGTTGTTTGGGTGTCTGACTGATAACAAATCTCCCCCCTTGAAGGCCGTGCTGCAGGATTCTGTGCCATGTGCGCATTGCAAGAGCATGTTCGCCAAGCCTTGGCTTCATCTGGCGGTGCGGTCTCTCCTTCGACTCTAGTGAAGAACTTGAGATGCATTTCCAAGAGTTTTCGCATGTGGAGGCAGGAAGATGCCCACGAGTATTTGCGCTGTCTCATTGAGGGCCTGCACAACTGTTGCTTGCCTCCTGGGGTCAAATCCAATTCCGCTGTCTCGCAAGAAAGAAGTCTCATTCACAAGATTTTTGGAGGTCGACTGCGGAGTCAGGTAGTTTTTCTCCTCTGTGTATGGTTTATTTTTCCGTCTCCGTCTCTTCTTGCTGTAATTGTTTTCTCTCCTGCAGATGAGACATTTAAAGTATGTTGAAATGCTGGGCTGATAGTCGGCATTGTCATTGCAGGTGAAGTGTACTGTCTGCTTGACATGTTCGAACACTTATGATCCTCTGCTCGACTTAAGCCTGGAGATTGTAAGAGCCGACTCACTCACGAAGGCACTAAATCGCTTCACTGCGGTTGAGGCACTGGAAGGAGATAACAAGTACCACTGTAGCCACTGTAACAAGAAGGTTCGCGCATTGAAGCAATTTACCATTGATAAGCCACCGAACATCCTAACGATTCAGTTCAAGCGGTTTAGTAGTACAGGAAGTTCCGGAGGAAAGATTGACAAGAAGATCGAGTTTGGGCGTACGTTGGATTTGAAACCTTACATTAGCAACCCACAGGTATGCTCAGTTTTCAAGTTATGAATTCTCAGAATTTCGTTGTGATCTTAGAAAGGGCTGATAATTATGACCATGTTAATATTGCAGGCAACTGATGCGAAATACTCGCTCTATGCCGTATTGGTGCACGCTGGTTGGTCTACCCACTCGGGGCATTACTACTGTTTTGTGCGAACTAAGGGCGACATGTGGCATGCGCTTGATGACAGTCGGGTACATTTGTGAAGTCTACTTGCTTTTTTTTCCCGCACCTTGGATTTTTCAATATGTTACGTTGCAGCTGGATAGTTCTCATGGTTCTGAGACTGATCTTACGTTCAATGTATAATGCAATATTTCAGGTGAAACAAGTGAGCGAAAAATCTGTACTGGATCAGAAAGCATATATTCTTTTTTACATTCGCGATTCGCCGACTCGTTCGTCCGTTGTTACGGATCAACGTCTACAGAGTACGCTGCCTGCTTTCAAAAAGTTGCTGTCAGACGGTGCCGCCGAGGTTGCTGACGATTCGAGTGCCGACGATCTTGATAATAACAGCACCCATCGAGGGTCAAACGCAGGGAACGCCGATGGTTCTCTTAATCGCACTAATGGAATTGCTCAGGTAGCACCTGATTCTGGGCTACCTGCGGCTCCAAATGCTAATCTCCCGTCTGTTAAACCAGCGGGCAATTCACAGGTAGCTGCCTCTAATCTACTTATATATTTAGTGATGTTGTTCAAGTGTTTGTTTCCATACATGAGAGCAGCTGTGTTCTCTTAGTGCTCTCCTGATTTTGCGTCTCTTTCTTAATGTTTTTTTTTATCATGTCAGATCCCTTCCGAATCAAACACAGCTGACACGACGAATGTTGCTAAGAATATTGCCATTGATACTTATGGTCCAATCACGACAAACAACAGTCTTGATGTTAAGATGAAAACAGACAACGCTACCGAGAAGTTGACCAAGATCGCTTCTATTGAGAAAAAAGATGTCCTCAAAGCGAATGTGAACGGTTTAGCTGCTGTGGAGAACTTAGTGAAAGAGATTCACAGCAATGGCCTCGAGGCCTCTGCACCATCTACTGGAAACGCGGATGTTGCAACTGCGGTGTCTGACAAACTTAGTTCAGCAGAAGAATTCAAGAATCAGGAAGATGAGGATATTGACTGCAGTACCAGTGGTGAAGATGAGGACGAAGATTGGAATGAATATACTAAGCCCCTCAACAGTTGTACATCTCACTCTTACATGCGTCTTTTGTATGCAATGCCCCATACTAGGCGTTATTTTATGGCTAGAGCTCTTCCTGTTCAAAGAGACCGAAAAAGATCAGCCTGTAAAAAGGTTCGAGGCCAGGTTGAAAACGGTCACTGCGAGGGGATGCCGAATGGCTTGAGCTCTAATGATAAGATATCCAAACGACTCTGCTGTACTCCTGGAGATGGCGGATTTTCCAAGAGGCAAAAGTTGGTCGATCATCGAGAAGAGTCACGCAGCAGTGATGAAATGACTGCAGTTGTCTCCACATCTGCCAAGACCAACGGTCTTATATACTCGGGGGCTTCTTCATCGCATGGTGGTAAGTCCAATGGCCACGCAAACAAATCCGAATCTGACGACGTCACCGTGTTGAGGGAAAGATTGCAAGCAGATGGATCTTGTCAAGCAGAAGACTTGGGTGGAAGTGCTCCAGCTACAGTTGCAACTGGGGATCCTGGTAAGACTGGATTGGACGTGCCGACAAAAGATGGTAGCAGAAAGAGCACCGCAGCACTGCAGCATTCAAGTCCTGATTCATCGAAGAAATCGAAGTGCAATGGATTGGGCGTGTCAAACCCAGTTGATGGGTGTTTAAAAGGAGCTGTTTCTTCTCCGAAGAGCTCAACTCGTTTGCAGCCAAACGGCTTGTACGATTTTGAGGGTACGTAGAAGGCTTTCGTCTGATGTCTTGATATGGTTGAAGTTGTTGGGATCCGTGAGAGCTGATGAATGGGCCTGATGTGGAAATTCATATGTGCAGTTCCCAGATGGGGCGAGGTGGAGGCTAATGAAAATGGGTCTCTGAAGGATGTAGACAGACTGTTACGGATGCACAAGACAGTCGTACCCGAACGGGATGCATGGTACGCTCACTCTTCTATGGATAAAACCTCCTTAAGGTGGCGTCATACATCGGAATTATATGTTTCTAATTTTGAATCATATTTGATTAACTTGTGAATTTCCATCTGCACCTCAGGGATGAGGAGTATGATCGAGGTAAAGCTAAGAAGGTGCGCATCAAAGCAACATTCGATGTTGGGAATGGTGCTAATCCGTTTCAAATGATGGCTGAGGCGGCCAAAAATTCCAAACAAAGACTCCACGCACCTATCAAAAATTATGTCGACGAGTGATAAGGCATATTGGGAGATGCATCGTACGATTCTTTGGTGGTGAGGTTCATTTGGCAATAGTGCAGCTAGCTGGCTTAGCTACTCTCCCTGTAATGCTTACAAAATGGAGACATAAGTGTACCTTTTAGTTAACTGCAAACAATCCTATCAGGCAGAACTCAGCCAGCTCGAACATGGCATCCTTTCCTCCCTCGTCTTGAGAGGCTCTTCCCACACCGCGTAGAGACTGAAGACTACATAGTTGTCGCCTCCCCACAGGTTTGAATGCTGACTGCGGTATGAATATATAACCAGGGTAGACTGATACTCGGAACGAAAGTTTGATATTTCTCATAAGTCGACCCATCTGGTGTATCTGACTTCACCTAGAAGTTGACAATAATTTATCAATTTTTTATTGAGGTTGATTTGTATTAAGACTGGGCTCTACAGTCATCAATCACAAATCTGTGCGTTCCACGTACACTTCGTAATCTCATTTGTTAACCTTTCTTTGTGTGGAAAAACTGCTTCACCTCATTCGGGTTCCTGCTGTCAGTATGGGCTTCTCAAGCAGCAATGTGTGGCTAATGTCCAAACCAGCTTAGAAGCTCTTCATGTATATTGAATTGTGTTTATAATGGCGGCTTTGATACAGCACAAAATAATCAAGTCTAGCTTGTGGAAGTATTCCTGAACATGAAATGTGTAGAGACGCATCAGTGTGCAAAGAGAATTTTGCACGTTGTTATTGTAGAAAATGTGGTAATTTTTGAAACATCATGTTCTGTTTCGATTCTTTTGTCTGATGTGAAATTCAAAAGCTTATGTTTGTCTATGAACAATGTCACAATATCATCTTACAAGAATGCCCTACGTAGTTGTGTTTCTGTGCTTGATAGATATATTCTAGAAGCAAATTTTATTTTTGAAGTGGTATTGATGCGTTCATGAATATTAACCAAACATTTTCACATATTTTTGCCATCTGCAGCTCTTCTTGGGTTTCGTCATCGTACTCCTTGCTAGCACTTCCAGATGTAGGACGTGTAAACCATAGGATTTTGTGTACATCCAATTTATTCTTTACATAAAGTACAGGTTTCACTTAGCTTTAGTATGATATCATTGATGGATTGATGAATGACATTGCTATGGCTAAAAGCATTACAGGTTGTATGGGCATAGGAAATTGTAGAAACGTCTGTGATTTTGTTAATGGATTTAGCAACCAAATAAATGGGGTTTGAATTCTCACTTAGATGTCACTAGTGATGTTCAAAGTAGTTCCCGCCAGGAGTATCCTTTGTCAACTTCTGTCAAACTCCAAGGCAAATGCAAGTGATCAACCACCTATCTTAGACGGTAGATATGTTGGAAGATAGCACATTTTGTATAAAATGTGCTATCTTAGTAACACAACATATCTACCGTCTAAAATGGATGTACTTCTAAAGGCCACAACATATCTACCGTCTAAAATGTGCTATCTTAGTAACACAACATATCTACCGTCTAAGATAGTACCGTCTTCGTTAGCAGATGTGACGCTCTGATCCGTGAATCGTCCATTTTCATGCATTTCATCCCACTGATCGCGCAAATTTTAGATTATGAACCTATTAAGACACGCCCAACTATTTGTAACTAATTAAATTTCGAAAATAATAGTACATGCAAGGAGGAACTACTCTGTGAAGCGACCAAAAGACATCTGAGAATCATCCATTTCTGCCTGCTTTCTCCTCTTCGCTGCTCTTCCATCATTGTTAGCTTCAGAAAATTGAGAAGCAGTGCGAGCACGAAGCTCCTCCAGGCTTTCTCCCTCTTTAGCTCTCTCCAGTACCTGAACAAAAACTCGAAAATTACATTTTCGGACTATGCAAAGAAAGTGTAACGCAGATTAGACAGGAATAACCAGCTCAAAGGTACTCTTGCTTAAGGGTGTAGTGAAGAAAGAAAAAGTACCATATGCCGACCATACAAATGGGTATTCTGAAGAGCTTCAAAAGCATTTTGTGCCTCCTTTTTCGTTAAGAACTCCACAAATGCAAAACCCCGGTGATTACCATCGAACTTCTTCGGCAACCTAATGCTCTTGATCTGCTTAAAATGAAACATGCTCCTTTTTCAGTAAAACATATGTCCAAAATCAAAGACCAAACATGTTCTTCGTTATAAAAATGCAATAAAAGTGTCATTAAGTTGTACTGATTTAATTTAAGCATTTTCATTCCAGACATGCTTTACTGAAGCTGCTCTTTAACAATTAACCTTTCAGACAGTAGAACATAGGACTGTCTGCAATGAATACATGATACAAAGAAGTTCAGTTCTCTCGCCTGGCCAAAAGGATTAAATATTTGTTGAAGATCCTTCCTCGTTGCTTCGAAGGCCACATTTCTAACGATAATCTTTGTCGAGCTTTCCTTACTTTCTGCCTTACCCTTCGTTGCAGATGTCTTGGAATCACTACCACAAGCCTTCTTAGAATTATGGCTTAGTTGTAGAATCAAAGCGTGGCCTTCTAGTACAGTACCCTGCATGCACCAAGAATATATATTCAACATTAAAAATCTTGTGGTTCAATTGAACCATTCCTTAGTGACGTACATTCTTGTACAAACACAATAGCCTGAAATATAAGAGTATAGGCGAGCCCTGCTCAGATATGGCCCGCTTGGTACCTGTAGATTCTGGCAGACCATTTTTGCAGTGTCCACACTATCAAACTCGATAAATCCAAAGCCCATAGAAAGTGGCTTCCCTGATTTTGATTGTTTTTTCTTGATCTGCATGCACAAACCCACTACTCTTGTAAATATATGCGACTGGTTCCCCACAATAAGAAACCAAAGTTGATGACTGCATTAAAAGTACAAAGGCCAAAACCTGTATAAAAGACATTCTTAAGAAAATATTCTCTCTTTAATAAAATTGCAGCAATTAAATTCTTCCTTCATAAAGCAAAACCACATCTGACAACATAGAAGAGTTTGAACCAAGAACTTTATTAAATAGAACCTTACCGTGACACTTCGGACAGATCCCTGAGTGATTTTCTGATCAAAATGCTTCTTCAAAGAAACCTCCGTAGTTGAAAAATTTAAGTTCTTAACAAAAAGAGATCGGGCCTGATCGACATCGTCGTCTTCAGTAAGTGCTGCCACTTGAGTCTCCACAGCGACTCGCTGTAACAGTTTGTCCCCAACAGCCCCCTTCGTTTTCTCTGCACCCGTGAAGACTCTCGACTTTTTAACTCCAGTTAGCAAGTTCACAGGTGCCCACTCCAGGTACAATGGCACATGCCTGAACATACCAACAATTAGACTCCATCCAAGAGCAATAAAGAAGAAAAATCTTTTTCAAATTAAACGAGGGAAAAAAAATCCGGTTTGCTCTAAAGCTGCAACTGAAAGGAAAAGAAATAAGTCACCAACCATCATTTAGCTGCATAAGCCAGGATGTAAAGTCAAAAAGTTGAAAGAAGCTAATAGTACTTGGAAAATCAACAAAACTTGAAATTTCAAAGACATGGAGGCACGCGGCAATACGTACTTAAACCGCTTGTAAGCCAAACCCTTGAATGCACGACGGGCCTCTGCAGCTTCCAGATATTCCACCTATATTAAGAATACCATATGGCTCATGAATGACAATTGAGGTGATTCATGTGCAAAACTGAGACAATGCATTAAAAATTAAAAAAGACTCGTAGTTTCTAAAAGAAGACGGGCAATTCAACTGTCCAAGTTACAAAGGGAGGATACTCTGAATCAAGAATTTACCAGTGCTAGCGTTTTTGTAGGAGGAAGAATTACTCTCGCAATACTACCAAAGACCCCAAACATGGAAACCAATTCGTCTTCAGTTGTTGAAAATGGCAAATTCTTCACTAAAATTACAGTCGAACTGCGAGTCACTTTTATCTCCTTTCCTGATGCAACATCTTCCAGGACCTCAACGTTTACGCCCTCATCACTAAGTGCCCGTTTTGTCTCCGCTATGATGTGGGTTTCTCCCAATGCCATTCGAACTGCTAAGTCGTCTGCATTGGGATCTAGAAACTCGCTTTTAGTCATATTGTATTGTCGAGCAACATTCTCGGCTATCTGCCAGACAGTAAGTGTCACAACATATAGGTAAGAAGACTGCAAAACGATTTGATTCGAAAAGGAAAAAGAGCGCAAAATTCAGAAGACATTGAGAGGCACCACATTGCCTTAATATGATACAGTTACTGCAGCATTATATTATAGCAAAACATGATAAACGGTACAATTACCGTGTCTGGACGCATGAATAGGGGGTTCCACGCCTTTGTGTTTCCACTGAGCTCTGCTGCTTTTCTCTGAGATTCTTTCTCTTGCTTAAACTTTGTAGATCCAGGTCCCATGCTAGTAGTCCTGATTTCACACCAAATAACCAATTCTCAAGTGTAAGAACACTGATACCCGTACGATTTCCATTACGACTAGGTGTTGAGTATCTGCACACTGTGCTCTGGGCGAAAATCATGCTAAGAGAAAATCTCGCTTTTATCCGAAAAAAAACCCAGGAAACTGAACCAATTCATACATGCATACAAAATATAAGAAGAAATCTCCAAATGTAAGCACTGCTATCTGCAAACCACGCGTAAACACGATCTATGTTATCCAAAAAACACAACACCAGATGAACCCGATCGACCGTGTACATCCAAAGTCTAGAACTTACACGCATAGCTCTCGATAGCCACTTAAAAACACTCTAAAACACTGTGAACTACAATTGTATGCGTTAACCAACGCAAAAAGTACGATGAATCTGCATACTTTTCTGTCTCTGGAGGAGGAGGAGGTCGCCTGGCGGGCAGTATGTGAATTAATCGCCCTTGAAAGATGGATTTATCCAGCTGCTCCATTGCTCTGAACTCCCAAATGAAACAAAAACGAAAATTAACGAAACAAAAGAGGTAAAAACATCAATCTGTGAAAAAGAAATTATAGAACTTGGCAATCAAACCCAATGATGACTGCAGCTGTGATCAACAATGCAAAATTCGCGAAATTCAAAAACTAAAATGAACAGAAATCAGTGAATGAGTACAAAAATGCTTCAATCAGACTAGGTATAAACACTCTTTAAATTTAGAAATACCACTGCCTTTCATAAAAGAGGGCGCAAGGCAAGCAATACAATACCTTACGGCACATTCAGGAATCATATACAGAACAAACGCCATTGCCTTCGATCGTTTAGTTGTTTTATCTAATACCAAATGCACTTCTGAGAGCTCCCCGAACTTGCCAAAGAGTTCAGCTAGTTCTTCTTCCCTGAAATAGGGCCACGCAGGTAATAATTATTAACACAAAAAATGAGAAATAAGGCAACCTCTTCAATCTCAACCTCTTCGTAAGGAAGCCAGAGCTAAATGAGAAAACCACAGCATGTGAAAACATAGCACTAGAACTAGCTTGGAAGAAGGATATTTGATGGTTGCAATAATCGGAGCCCAGATACTATCACTAAGAGATTACTCAATCGTATGGGCAGTACAAGGAAAGTGGAGAACGTAGTACTTTGCAACAAGATGACTTACGTTGCTGTATACGGAAGATTACGGACAAAGAGTCGACCAGTTTCGGAAACGCTTTCTTGCTCTTCAGCCAAAACTGGCGCTACATGTGCGTCGCCCTCAGCAGATTGTTCAATATGGTCCAAGCCATTTTTACCATCGTCCCTATCAATCTCAGCGATTACAACGTTATCAGCCGCGTCGTTCATCTCTTCGTCTTCTACTTCACTCTCGTCTTCCTCTTCCCCGTCTTCATCATCGTCTTCTTTAGAAGAAGTGGTAAGGTCATTTGCGTCATCCAACGCCGCGTCTTTGTCACTAGCATCATCATCGTCATCATCATCACTCCATGCACCACTTTTTGTACGACTTTTCAGGTAATCCAAGTCTGTCAAAGTTTCATCTTTCAGGACTGGATCTTGAATAGGATTAACGCCATCCTCATCGACATCTTCTTTGTCTGCAGCTCCTTCCCGACTCTCAGTATTATCCAACACAGGAGCCTCCTCGTACAGTTCGTCTTCATCACTTTCTTCGGAATCACTATCATCAAATCGAACATGCATTTGAGTCAGCTTCTCAACTCCTTTACCCTTGTTTATTGGAACTCGCCTGGAGAAAGTTTCCACGGTCTTCATCTCTACACTGGCTTTCTTTTCTTTCTTGCTACCCTGTTTCTGTTTACCATGCTTTGATGCTGAATCGGATCCATTAGAAGCAATCTTCGTATCATTTGCCCATAATTTTGATTTGCTCCGAGGTTGCATTACTTCCAAAAACTCTTGCAGCTGAGGATCATTTTCAAGTTCACTGTCAGCTGTTTTACTTCTGAAATCCTGATTTTTCTTGAACTTTCCAGTATCTTTCGCAGAGGTCGTTGGATTCTCCACAACGTCATCGCTTTTGGGCTTGAATTTTGAACTTCCCTCCGAATGTCTGCTCCACGGCCTCGGGAGATTTGGATCCCCAACTGCTTGTGCCAACTGTGAAATCAAACGGAGACTTAACAAGACTACCAAGAGCTCAGAGAAAAATTAAAACAAACTTGTGAAACATGTAAACGTGTAGCCTTTGGAGACAACATACACTTACCAAAATGTCTGTCATAGTCCAAAGAAGTACTTGCAACACATCACAAATTCTAAAAGTAGTACCACGAAAAATTAAGGATACAATTGACAGACCTCGCATGTGAGTCTGCTGGTATCAAAAAAAGAGCGATGGAAATACTTTGCAGCATCCTTTGCTTCCTCCTCAGTACGGTATCCAACAAAACCAAACTGCCGCGTCCTTCCATCCCTGCATCAATAGGCATTGCACCCTCAATGAGAAAAATCGTAGGCGCACAATGATGAAACCGTAGGCGACTGAAACAAAAAGAGACTAGAAAGCTGCCGTAACCAATTCCGCAACTAACCGAGTCCTAATAATTTTTGCATCCGTAACCTCCCCTTTCGCCGCAAAGTGCTCCCTCAGCCGCTCCTCAGTCACATGCCGCGGCAAATTTTTAACACAAATTCGAGACGATCTAAATAAACGATGAAGCCAATTATTAGCAACCACAAAACTTGTTCAAATCTCGGATTCAAGCCACCAAAAAACAAAACCCGACATCATTTCAACAAGATACTAGTCTCTCAGATAATTCAATCTCCCAAAAATTCATGCTCACCAACCCCTAAAACTCGGTTCTCAGAAACAGCTCCTGAATGCCTCAAAGGTTTCTAAACTAGAACTCCCTAGAAACCACTCCAAAACCCTATGGAATTCCCTGCAAAACTCCAGCAATCCTAATTCACACCCACATTCTCAAATCCTTAAACCCTGAACCCTAACCCTATTTTCTTAGACAGTTAGAATTCCTCGCGTGGTTCACCATCTCACCCCGTAGACGCCATATGAATTGTCAGAAGAAGAAGAAGAAGAAGAAGAAGAATAGGAATCCAGAGACAACAGTAGTAACGAAAAACTCTGTCCCAAAACCCCCACACTCTCCAAAGTTACCAGCCAGCATCAGCCCAGCTCTGATGGCCGTTGCGAAACTGAGGGCCTTCACAACACACACTCAGGGCAGTTCACAAAACACTTGATGAATGAAGGAAAAGAAGCTTCTGGATGTATGAAGCGTGGATGGTGTGAGGAAGATGGACGGGTGGATGGATGATAACAGGGTGAAGAAGAAGAAGCTTCTTCAGGCACTTCTCTGTCTCTCTTCGCAGGTTGCGTTCGGAGCTTTGACGGTGGGGCATTTCTGACACCGACCAACAATCCCCACCACATTTATGTATATTCATGTGTGGACTCTCCTCATTCTGGCGTCACAGTGCGTGCATCACTTCTAGGATACGTTAGTCTCTGAATCCTGTGCTGATTTCAGCGGATTTCTTCTAATTTCTGACATTGTTCTCTTAGGGTGTGTGAATTGGACGAGGGTCGTGTGGCAATTGGGTTTTGGCAATCCTCGCGAGCTTGTGATTTTTTTGAGTGTTCTGTGCACTACATGATCCTTTTTTCTGAAGTGTCGCGGTATTTACTTTTGGGATTTGTGCTGGTTGAAAGGATATTTTTTATTCAGCGTGAAAGCGTGGGTGAGCAGCGTTTGCTTAAGCTGCACTGTCAGCGCCTTGAGTGTTGTTTGCTTGTTTCCTGTTGCTTATTTCGTAAGTTTGCCCTCGAATTCGTGGTCGGTAGATCCTTGGACTTCGAATTCTGAGGGTTGCTAGGAGCTGTTGGTTTTTAGGTGTGGTGTTGAAAATCCAAGATGTAGGGTTACGGATGAGGGTGTTCATTTCGCTGTAGCAGCAGGTGTCTGCGTCTCTGTGGATTATGCGGCTGGGTTTATGTGCAGATTTGAGGTGAGTTGCTTAGGGGATGAGACTTTCGTTAACATTTTCTTGTATAGTAGTGGATGTTGGTGCAATTTGTGTTGATCCCAAGCCGGGGCAGATTTTGGAATTTGTATCATCTTTCTAGGATGGTTGTGCGGTTGATTGGTTTTGCGTTTGGTGCATAATTCTTTGGGTTTGGTGCAATTGGTGAGGTTGGAACTCGATTTTTCTTGTGGATCTCAAATTTTAGTTTATGTGATTTTCAGGGTTTGATCGGAAGTCGTTCACATATCGAGCCCCCGATTCTGTAACTTAGTCAAGAGAGCAGTAGGCGAACAGGGATTAAGGGAAGATGGCGTTGAATCCGCAGCTCTACGACAATGGCACGCCTGTGCCATTTGTTGATGAATTGTTTGTACTGCGGCGAGACGCTGTGAATTTCGAAGTCGACAAAGTTGCAGAGTGCGCGCCTACGTTTTACTTCTTTCAAAAGTTTTCTGTTATCGGATTGTCTGGATCCTGATCCTAGCTTTATTTTAATATCGGGAATTAATGCATTGTAATTGCTTTTCCTTAGGAGACGGTGTTTTAGAATTTTTTTTCCTTACTTTGTTCTACAGCATGGAAGTAGATATCGGGACGGTATGCTGTGTCAAACTATTTTTGAGTATTGTGTATTCATGACTGTTCTGAGGTATCACTGCACGAAATTAAATCCTTGGAAATGTAAATGCAGGGCTCCTGGAAGTAAAGTTTCAGGAAGGGGAGCAGCTTATTTGTCGAACTATCGCATTGTTTGTGTACTTGACAAGCCCGTGGATAATGTTCAAGCTTTTGATATGCCTCTGGTATGTCAATATTCATCTTCTTTGGCTGTGTATTTTTTTTCCTGTCACCTTTTTTATTTGAATGTATGCAACGATTTTCAGTAGGAACTGCCAAATTCTAGGCATAAATCATCGATGTGATAGATAGCAAATTCAAAAGCATATTAGCAGACTGAGTTGAGTCCATTACAATGAAATCCGCAGAGTTTAGATTATTTTTTCAGTAATTTGAGCACATGCTGTTGAAGTTCTGGTGTTTGATTCTCTTTGACCTATTCAGTTAGTTGTGATAGAGGGATGAAGCTTTATAAGTTAAATACTTAAGTTCATCTTCTCAACAAGGATGCTAGAGATTTGATCATTTTTGTTATGCAGGTCTATATTCATGAAGAAAAATTTAATCAACCCATCTTTTTTTGCAACAATCTTGCTGGCAAAGTCCATCCGGTACGTGCTTCCTTTGTGTTGATCACGTTGGCACGGATTTGCACATGTAGAGTTTTCACCGCGTGAACCTTGATGTCATGGATGCCAAATTTTTGATGTTAGGTGTCAAGGGTGTTTCCTTGTGTTATCCAGCACTAAAAATGTATGTATTCTATCAGGTGATTCCAGAGGGAGCCAACAGAGCTTTATATAGTCCACATTCATTCAAAATTAATTTCAAGGAAGGTGGAACGGGTACTTTCATTCCTCTTTTTATGAATCTGATTAAGAGTGTTAGGGCAGCTCAAAGGATGGTGGACGAACCGCAATCGCAACCCTCTGCTCCACCTATCGATCCTATGCCCGCTGCACCAGCGCCAGTTGATGAAATGATGCGACACGCGTAAGTCTAAATATCACAATTTGGATGGATTTGGTGACCTCTTTCTTTGCACATAAAGGAACAAATGCACTGTTATGGCTCTCAGTCTCCTGCTCATCGCTAGAGGATTTTCTTAAAAAATATGTTGGTTTATTTGTTGTTGGTGTAACAATACTTTTTGCAAAATTTTTTTGGTCTGAAAATAATATTGATGGTCGTCAACCAAGGCACGTCTTTTCCTACCTGTTCAAAACAAGTCCCGTCTTTTTTCATGATTTCATTGAAGCGTATTTTATTCTTTTCCCACTGAAATCAATTTGTTGCGTAGACACGTTATGGGTATTACTCACACATAATTTGTGCAGGTATATCGACCCATCCGATCCAACAAAACTGTATTTGCAGCAGCCTTTTGAGTCGCAGCCAACATTGCGAAGGCGTAATTATTCATTTGCTGGGGATAGCCAGATGTAACGTTGGACAACTCTGGAGTCAGGTGTTTCTTTTAGGAATAAATTTAAAAGTTTGTAATCTCTTTAGTTTGCTATTGTTTGTAGAAACCTATGTTGAGTGCCCAATTGTCTGTCAAGGCTTCTTCGGAAGCTGGTGTGAGGGACGACGGAGATAGGCTAGCAATTGTGGTAAACTGTAGTGTTTGATAGAGTTGTAAGTGTGTATGTATGTGAATATGGCTTCTTTATATTCAAATAGTGTGTGAGGTATGTGAAATGGCGGCATTTTGCTAGTGCTCAGAATATACTGTTGAACTGCATATAGCACTAGCAACCACAAAATAAAATTAAAAAGCAAAAATAAGATAACCTTTTTTAAAATAAATAAGAATCATGAATTCTCAATACTACAACGTTGTGTTCATGTTTTGAAGTGATATTATTGTGATTTGTAATATACATGAATATTGGTACATTGCCACATCAATACTTAAATCAAATGCCATATACTGTCATGGTTATGAAATTGTAATGAATTTGCCAATTCCATTAAGTAACGTTAAGAAACAATCAATTCTTGCTACTATGTCCGATATCAATGTGTGAATTAGGTTTACAGGTTTTTATCATTCACTCACAAAGCCACATGTCTACTAAAAAAATGTTGAAATTCCACGTCTAAAATTAGAAAGTCCAACAACCTAGTTGATGTTATTTTTCGACCCAAAGATAGAATCCACTTTCTTGCATGGAATGATATAGTTTTGGGACATTCCGGACGAATAGGGAGGGTCCCAGATGAATACCATAGTGAATGTTCCAAACCCACCCCCTCCCCCTTCCCGAGGCAAACCAACCCAACAAGGCTGACGTCGAAGAGGAGTGGCCCCCGCGTCATGGCACGCGGTGTCGGTGGAATGCGGGCCCAACGAGGAAGCCCAATCACTGGATCTCATCGTAACTCAATACTCACAACTCTCAACAGTTGAGATTTGGAGTTGCGACGCAGGGGACTTGCCCTTCCTCTCTTTGGATCTGGATCCTTCTCATCCCCGTCTTCTGGATTTGTCTCCCGTTACTGCGTGTTGGGGGTGTCAACGTCGCTTTGCCTGTGCGTGAGTGATCCATCATCGCGACATTGATTAGGAGATGAATGCGCCCTGTTCAGGATCCGTGAAATTCGTCACTGTCGTCTGCTGCCGAATTCAGGTTCTGTGAGACATTTCACCGAGCAGTTGAACCAGGAGCAGTTTTTGAACTACTCCGGAGCTATTTTTGGACTTCGGGTTGGTAGTGGTTTTGTGGTTGTGTTTCGAATAGCTTGCTTCACGGGGACACGACGACGTGTTTGAGAGGATTTGTGGGCTCAATCTGAATCAGAGAAGGGCGGGGGTTTGGGACGAGGAGCAATGTCCACAGTAGCGCAGGATTCTGCGCCGGGAGGGGGTAAGATTCAGGACGCGATGGAGCAAGGGGCTCCAGGTGCGAGTAGCGCCGCAGTCGTTCCCGAAGGAGGGCACTATACTCAAACCCCAAGCCCCGCGTTTCAGGCCGTTAAGAAGAACATTAACCACATGTCAGCTTTCAGCTTGGGACTGCGGGTTGCGGAGTTCGTTCTCAGTGTGATTGCCTTTAGCTTGATGGCATCTGCGGACCAAAACGGTGCGGTTTATAGTACCTTCACCTCGTACAGGTGAGAATTCTGGTCTCCACTTATGACTCATGAAAACTAGTTCTGCGGATCAGTCAGCATCGGGAAGCCGCATTCTTAGCACGAGTGTTTAGATTGTAGAATTTGAGGGGTTAGCATGGGATCAGGAGTAGTGAGGATTCGCAACATTCTTAGAATGCGAGTTGTCTGACTCCGCAGGAAAATAATTAGTTGCCCTGGGTGGACCCGTTGGCTTGGTTATTTTTCTGCCGCAACTCCTAGCATCATACGATAGGTCTTTTGTACAGCGTAGACTTGAGGATCATCTCCTGCGTGCTTTTATTCCTACAGATTTTTGGTTTGGGGCTTGAGTAGGAATTGTCACTGAATGCAACACATTAATGCTGCTGAATTCTAACAATCTCAACCTTGAATGTTGTCTTCAAATGCTAGACTCTACTCGAAGCATTGAATAACTTCGTGTCTTAACTTTTTGGGATTTCTACAGTTTTGTACTGGCAGTAAACGTGCTTGTAGTCTTTTACACTATTGGGCAAATCATCATGAGCGTCCTGCTTCTGGTGTCTGGAAGCACTCCTAAGAAGATCTACTTGTTCATCACATTCGGATGCGATCAGGTGAATTGTCCTCCCCTTTTTCTGCGTTTCAATTTTTTTAGAGTTACTCTTGCTTAATAATTAACCAATTGTTCAACTATTGTTGTATTGAGTGTGGAATGATGTCCTCGTTTTCGCAGTTGTCTGCATTCCTCCTTATGGCCGCAGGCGCTGCTGGAGCTTCAGTTGCTCTGATAATCAATCGCGGAGGAGTTACTGACGCCTATGGGAATGGATGCATAGACGGAAAAATCACAAGCTTTTGCTCACATGCACAAGCCTCTGTAGCTTTTACCTTCCTGTCGTTCTTCTGTATGGTGATATCCTCACTTCTTGGAGTGTACAGTTTAGCCCCTTACCTCATTCTTTGATCTCCTGACGAACTTAGTTTTAGCTAGGAAAAGCAAGCGCGTAGTCTATTTTTGTGAACAGACATGCTCCGCTAGGGTACAAAAGGTTTGGTTTATTTCATTTATTCCTGCTGTAATGTATGTGTTGTAGAAGATTTTAAAATCATCTTAGAGCAATCGAATAAGAACTTAGCGGAGAGTTTTGCAGGAAGTATATATTATTGTTACAATTTTTACAGCAGGCTGGTTTTCATATGTTTTCTATATGAATCGAAAGGTTGTCACTTACGCATCGTGCATATAGCCTTCTCCAAAATCAGTTTACACTATGACTTTTCAATCCATTTTCCTCGACGATATGGTATGAAGAGGATATATATATATATATATATATATATATATATATATGAATAGAACTTTCTCCTCCTTGCACAAACAACGGTGTCAAAAGATTTGTTCTCTTTTGAGCCACCTGGTAATATCTCACTAGAAAGAGAAATAAATGAGCTGCTTTTATGGAGCACGACATTCTCAAGTGTTGCTTAAGTTGTTTGCCACAAAGACCAATGAGCTAATCTACAAACTTTGAATCGGCACTGGTGTTAAAATCATGCGGAAATATAAACGAGTGCTGGAACGCGTTTGGCAGGTGCGAGACTTGAGAGCTGGAGTTGGTGGTGTGAAGTTAAAACTTTGCTTCAAGCGCTGACTTAATCCTTTGATTGATTTCACACTTTTTCTTCTTTTTCTTTTCATTCATTTTTTGAAAGTTATTTAAAGTAAGAAACCAAACGGTACAAGGTTGAGCTTCTTTGCACGTTACAAAACGTCCTAACTCATAATTCACTTTTACTCTACTGCTGATGTAAGTGAAAGAACAAAGTATATATGCTTTCGTTGCACTTCTGGGAGACACTTGTACCACTATCATGTACAAAACCAGCAGCAAAGAGTTAAAATCAAGGCAACAACTGATTTCAAGACCCACGTTTGCTCCAAGTGCTCATGGTTAAACAATTGCACACCATGATCGAGGACTGTGCCTCAACAGCAACGCGCCGACTGCAAATATCAACATCTTCAGAGAGCAGCATCCCCTTCTGAGTTGGCCATTTCTTCTCCCAGAACACCGTGGACGCAACGTCGCTTCACAATTCGTCTAGATCCTCCACTGATCGCTTGTCCATCTGATCACACTGCACGCACGCCATTGGCATTCTCTCGGTGCTGAAACGGGTTACCCCCCCCCCCCCCTCCCCCCAACGCAAGAAAACTTAACCACCTCTACATGGGTTCCTTGGAGTTGTTATTCGCCATCGTTGACGGAGATCCCAAGACGAACCATCAATCCTCGACTGGGAAGCTGGATTTGGAATTCTCACACGTCCATGACTCTTGGGATTGCATGGGTTTATCAATCCGAAGGTCCTGACCATGGCCACAGATTTGCAAAAACTATTCTATTATCTATGAAAAACTTGTGTGTACTGTATCAGTGGAAAGCAAAAATTAGAGGTGACGTTAGATAATTATCAAGTTATGTTTCTAGCTCCAATTAAGCATATCAATCGAATTCAAAATGTGGTATTCTCATAAAAACAAAATGTAACTTAAATAAATAAATCGTGTCACTAGAAACTATTTAATACAGAAAAACACAGTTAAACGTAAAAATGGGCAATCACCAAAGACTATGTGAGTAAGTCATGCGGAATCTCGCTGAGCTACGGTGGACGGACCATCGACACAGTTATAGGCACGTCCAAGTGAGGAAGGAGACGAATTCCACATATTCATCCGACATCTCCAGAGGAACCATCCAGAGAAGGACAAGACAGGTTCTGGTGTACGTTCTCCAGAACTGTCGTGAAGGTTCTATGCGACGAGCCTACGCAACTCCATTAGGGTTGGCTTCCAGTGTGGTTTCCGTTTTGCCTGTGTTTCAGTTTTCAAGTGCGGAGGAAGTGTCAATTTTGCCTTTGTCTGTCTCAATGTAAACTGCATCTTTATAAACGGACATCGGAGGATAGTGTGTGGGACAGCTATGGTGGGAGCAAACCAGGTGGAGAAGCGCGCAGCGGCGGAGGCGTACGACTTTGACAGTGATTCCCGGTGGTCTAATTACTGGAACAATGTGCTGATTCCGCCACAAATGAGTGCCCGGCCTGAAGTCCGGCGTCACTACCAGCTCAAATTTTACCAGCGGTACATCGTACGTGCACTTCCCTTTGAGTGCTTATTTTCATGGCGGTCTGAAGGATGCTGAGGAATACCACACTCTTTGTTTGTTGATTTTATTTATTTATTTATTTTTATTTTTATTGATCAGGAGTTAGAAGTTTAGGCTCTGCAAGTGTTTTTGTGAGGGATCGAGGGTCAATCGAAGAAAAGTTGCATAGAGAACACTTATTGGCTTTGATTGCATTTATTCTATTCGATGCTTTTCGTCTTTTCATGTAGCATTTCATTTTATTTTATATTTATTTTAAATAGAAGACTTGACTACTTGAAGAATGTCGAGGTTGGAAATTTGAAAATATAATTATGAATGTGTTGATTAGTTTCCAAGCTTTTGTAGTGGTTTTTGATTAATCAAAGCACGTTCCAAGGTCCGGGGCCATTTTTGACATGCTATGTCAGGCTTCTAGTTGATAGGATTTCAAATTTTGGGCGTTGTAAGTCGTATCTACAATTTGAGCATCGCCCAAGGTAACTGATAAGATTTATTCGCTGGTACAGGATCCAGAGCTTGAAGTGGACTCTCTTTCAAGCGTGAAAAACAGCTCCTCAGCTAGTTCTGCATTTCCGTCTGGTCCAAATATATCGGTTCATCAACGTCCAGCTGCTGCAGGGGCAAGCACAGGTGCGCTTCATATTTTTATGATCGAAGACGGGGGATTCGTATTCTCTAAGTTTTTCGAGGACACTGTTACGTAGTTGTTTCAACTATCACATGTTCGCTGATTTTTTTAATACTTCTTATTATAAACTTTAATATTTTTTAGTTTGCTCACAATAACTTCTAAGGAATTAATTAATATGAAAATGGAATAACATGTCTAAGGTTCGGGAATTTCATGAAAGATCCATGTTTGAGACTAATTTATTGTAATCCCGAGGGAATAGTTTTGCACCCAAACCATTTTTTGTTTATACATTGTCTCAATAGGTGTTTGGTTCACAGTTTTAGGAGTGAAATGTGTTGTTGGCATGTTCAGAAACTGAAAAGAGCACACTTACGTGATGAGATCTAACAATTATGCATTATGATCGTAGCTCGCAGCGCGGCTGAGAACATCCCGCCACGACCTCCTCCACGCGCTGCACCTAGAGCTGATGGCACTCTTCAACTTGACCAGAAATCTTTTCAGTTTCTCAACAATGCATGGGTACGTTTTATTTGGATTGCATTGCTTTCTTCTGCCAACCAGGGATCTGTAAAACTGTGAGAACATTGGCTCTATAAATATATGCATGTATCAGCCTTAACAACTCGTGTGAGGATGGATCTTCTAATTTGATAAGGCTCTGAATACGATGAACATGTTCCTTAATGTTGAGAGAATCCATCCCTGTTTGATTACGACGAACTAACGTTTTGTGATCCACTGCAGGTTGCGGTAATGGCTATTCTGGCTATGTTTCCATTTTCACCGCGAGGTATTTCTGATCGAGGATACCGCTTCTCATTAGCAGGCTCTGCTGTTGCGTGTGCTCACTCTCTTTACCTAAACCATCGGGTATAGTCAATTTTTTCAGACCTCAAGCTTTCATGATAAATTTTGATGCGTTCACATGAAAAAACATCAGCAGATTAGGAGACAGTGTAACACATTGCAGTGCGATACTTAACTTATCAAAGTCAAGACAGAAAAAATTGCATGTGTTCTGCGTTTACTTTGGATGCTATTTGCTCCAGGATTTTTGTCGTTAGTTCAGCTCTTCATCAAATTGTGACATTGATGTTGTTAAGGATGAACGAAATTTTCTGTCATGACTATTTATTAGAGTAGTTTAAGGTTTAGAATGATTCAATTTAGAGGTCGTATTTCCACCACGTTTTCTTTTTCTTTTTTTTTGGGTCATGATATATAGTTTGTACACATCGTAGTCTGATTTTATCTTACGAAAGGTGAGGTTTTTGTACGTGTGTACAGAGACCCCGTGCCTGGACTTTAGAAGCACTGCAGCAGTGGATGCAGATTATTGTTCCTTCCAAAGATTTCTTGTCATTTATGTTCTCTGTTATATTTTTCTCGTCCATGTACCCCGTCAAGTGTAAGTATTCCTATCTTCCCAATATTCCCTTGTTTATCCCCCTCATTGCTTGATGTATATGATCGATAAAAGTGAAGGCTTGTATTAAACAAGCATTGGCTGGTCATTAAGGCATACAATAACTTGCTTCTAAGTAGGATTTCTCTGTGGTGATACAAATGAGGTGTAAAAGAGTCTATGTGTTGAGAGAGTGCATGTATATGGATTGAGGTGGTAACTCGTAGCTGTAAGAAATTATCTAGGTTACCGGTTACCACATCGATGTGTTCAATGTCTTAATTTAGAAAAGCTATTGGAATTCTTTCCAAGATAAGTTAGTTACTTGTTCAACTTGAAAAAACAAATGTGAGTAGTACTGAGGTTCAAAATTCTGCTTTATTTCAAAGGACAAGTTTGTGATTTTTATTATTTATTTGTCGGACTTGGTTTTTAAATAGGCTTACAGATTCAGTGTACTGGGGGACTTTTAGTTGAATGATTTTAACTTATCGTATCTGACCTACACAAATATCCCTGGTGTACGCAGTTGCGGTGATCCCTGTTCTTTGCCGGTCTTTGGAGCAAGCAGTGATGTTCTTGCGCGGAAATTTTAACAACACGCAGCTTTACAAGTAGTCTTTTACATTTTTATTTTTGTTTTGAAATTTTGGGATGTTTTTTCATTTATTTTTATTTTTATTTATTTATAAACTTGTTTTATCGGAGGGAGCTTGATGCTTATGTTTATATTAATAAAAGGAAATGTGTACTTTATTTTATTTTATTTTATTTATTCCCCTCTCTTGGTTGGGGTAGGAGTGGTCAACATTGTGATGATAGTGTACTTTTCTTAAGTTCGAACATGTCTGAACCATCTTCTAGTCTTCATCATTAGTTTTGTGCTGCATTGTATCACGAGCAGGGTTTTATCGAGTTCTACTCCTGGCTGACGTGAAATCATGTTTGTTGTGTATGACAGGAGATTTCTTAAGAGGGCTTGTGACCTGCTGGCAAATAACCGGACAATGTTGCACATGATAAGTGCCAATGCAGAGATTGGAATTGGTTTCCAGTTGATTTTTATGATACTTACGTAAGCTCCTTGGCTTTAAAACTGATATATAATCAAAAGTTCTGTTCAATGAGAATTTTTGCTGCGGTGAAAAGTATGGTCCAGTCCTTGTTTCTGAGATCAGTTCTTCTTTAATGAGGAAGGGTACTTAAACATGATTGATTTCTTTATCCTTAATATTGAATTGAAAACTTCTAGTTATGTTTTAATTTATTATCAGAACAATTGCTAATGGAATGTCGTGTACTATATGCAGGCCTCAACGTAATATTGTTCAAGCGTTGATCTACTGGCAGGTTGGCACCCACTATTTTCAATCCCTATGTTCATAGTTGTGACACGTTCCAAGTTGTTGGATACTCGTGGAAGCCTTTTGTAACTGTTCTTTTTAATTTTGAATTCATGAGTGGACAGTTTTGGTTTTTGGTCGAGTCTCAAGGCTTTGTTTCTGTCTTACGAGTTGTATATGTGGCGCCTGGATGTCTTTTCAGTTATTGAAGCTCTACTATAGAGCACCAAACACTTCTTTGTATCATCATCAAATCTGGTCAAGAATAGGCGCGAAAGTCAATCCTTTGATTCATCGCTTTGCACCAGTCTTGGAGCGGCCAATTGATTATGTGCGGAACTGGTTTTTGAGTTAGTTGACATCTCTGTGCAAAGAATAACAGCACCTGCTTTTCTCGTCACATTCTCTTGAGGAGCCCTCTAGTCATATGCAAGAGGAGACATGTAGACAATCCTAGTGAGGAGTGACCAACGTAATATTGTTCAGCAGTTGTAGGATCTGCACCCAAACTAGGACTCGTCCGTCCTGTATCTCGGCTCGAATGTAAACATTTCTACTCTAGATGTAGAAACTTCTCATCTTAATTAAGCATTCTTTTATCCATATGAAGTGATTCTGGGTTTGGTACCGCTGCACTTCAACACGGCTTTGAGAGTTTATAGCAGATCATATTGGTCTATAATTTCTCAAATGTTTCAGAATTCTAACAATCCTCTTAACGCGTCCGTGTTGTTTTTACCAAATACAACATTCTTGCAGATGGAAAGTAGTTGGGTGGATGATGCGAAATTCGATATGTGTACAGGCATCGAAACAATCTTCACCTTTCACAGATCTTGTTTCCTTTCAAATTCCCTCGTTCCTCTTTCAATGGGATCGTGTTATGACAGTCAACAAAAGTGTGGAAGTCCAACCTGATTACAGCTGGGGCCTCGAAAGCTCAGGAATCCTCATACCCGTTCTAGAGATTATTTATCAAATATTCGCAAGATATGGGAGAACCAACAGGCGCCAAATCAGAGATTAGAAGAGAATCAAAGCTGAGGGAATTGGGGTGCGAGAAAATTCTTGAAGGAAGGGGCTCGTGTCGATTCGCGAGATGGTGTTCACTCTCATCGTTAGCCAATTCCATTTCATCGAAAGCTATGTGGAACTCCAAGCGATCGCGGATCTAAGTCGACCGCTCTCAGGAGTCTGATTGTTGGAAAATTCTATGGAAGTCGGCAAAGACTTGCATGTCTTGGGGATTTCATTTGAGAATCAGCGTTGGGTTTGATTTTGAAGGGCGAGGAGGGTGGCTTTCTCACTGGTACTTTTCTGGGTTCGATAGTACTTAAGGGCAAACGTGAAGGTGGAGGAAAGAACGTAAAGGGCAGAAGGAGGGGGAGAAGTGAAGCTACAATGTCGGGTCGCAAGCGCACCTTGTTGAAGGTGACAGCGGGTATCACGTTCGCCCTCCTTGTGTGTGCACTGTAGGCATAAACTTGTAGGTTAGAGCATGCAGAGCTTTGTTTTCTGTTTTTGAATGCGTCTCTTGGAGAACATTTCATTTCCCCTGTTGACCTGGCAGGGTTGGAAAGACATCGCTGATGAATCAATATGTTAATAAAAAGTTGAGCAATCAATGTAAGGCCACCATTGGAGCAGATTGCTTGACAAAAGAAGTGCAAGTCGAAGATAGGATTGTCACTATGCAGGTCAGTGATAGCTCATTTGAGTTGTCATCTCAGATTGGACTCAACTTGAGAGGCATCATCGTTTGTGTGCGAGTGTGAAGTGGAATTTTGTACGCAAACCAGAATGACGGTTGTCATTCATGGTCAATATTTTGACAGAGTGTTGCGGGTCCCACATGGTTTTTGTGTTTTGAAACCCATGTACTTAATTTTGTTATTTGCTCACTCGCTCTGGTCAATTCTACACCGCTCCTTAATCAACCGATTTGGGACACGGCTGGATAGGAGCGGTTTCAGAGTCTCGGTGTTGCCTTCTACTGAGGTGCAGATTGTTGTGTTCTTGTTTACGACGTTAATGTCATGAAGTCTTTCGATAACCTGGACCATCGGAGGGATGAGTTTCTGGTTCAAGTAAGGTCTCGTTTTGGGTTGGTAGTCAATGGTAGCAGCCTTAAGATTTCTTGTTACGTGTTTCTATTACGCTTATGTATCTTTGCACATGTTTGCCCTTGATCATAATTTTGTCGGCGATAATTCTGTATGCTGATGCCTGTTACTAGCGCATCGTTCTTCTATTTGGTTTTAAAAATATTGTGCTTCATTTTGTATGGAGCGTTGTGTTTGATGCTGACCTTGAGTGGCACAGGCAAGCCCATCTGATGTAGAGAACTTCCCTTTTGTCTTCGTCCACAAAGTGGACGTGCATGGTGACAATAGTCGAGTTATAAGATTATTCTATTCTTACGTCCGATTCAATTTACACATCTATTCAAGAGATTTCGGATAGCTCATAATGCATCCCTCCAATGGTCCATGGCCACTGTACTTAGAGAAGCTTTCATCCTTTCCTGCAAAATTCATATCTTCTTTCTGGTTTTGTGGACTGAGAAGGTCTCTGAGAAGAAGGCCAAAGTGTTATGTGCGAAGTTTGGTGTCCCTTACTTTTAGACATCAGCCAAGGAAGACTTCAACGTCGATGCTGCATTTCAGTGTGTTGCCAGTACGCATTGAAGAACGAGACGGAGGAGGAAATGTGAGTTGCTCTGATCATGATCAGTATCCATTACTTTTGTGAATTAGGTGGATTGCCTACATGGGGTGGAACTGAGGATTGTGATCCGACTAGACATAACGTGGGCAAATGGTTGCAGTTACCTCCCAGACACAGTCGATGTGAACGCCAGCAGGCCACATCAAGCATCTGGATGCGGTTGTTAGAAGTGTCGAAGTTTCTGCATTGAGTTGTACCAGTTTCTCCCCGCCAGACACAAAGGTGGGTGATTTGTAGACATCCATGTAGATGATCAAGTGTCGTCCCACGAGGTGTGGGATAGTATACTAAAGTACAAGATGTGTGAAGACGGTAACACCAGGTTGGTATTGCAGCTCATTGGCACCAGTAGGTTCGTTCTGTATATATGTTTCAGGTCTATTGCCATTGGCACAATTACAATGGAGGCTCTGGATGTTTGGTCTAATACTACTAGTAGCAGGTTAATGTAGCGGTTGGGCGAATCATGTTTATTTTAATAGGGGCACGGGTACAGATACAGGTAGTTCACGAGTCTAGCTGAGATGGGTCAAGGATAAAACTAAAGTGATGAGCGCAAACCTGATCCTCACTCCACTTTAAGTAAATGTGGTGAGAAAAGAGGTGTGAACTGGTGGGTATGAAACAAAGATTTAGAGTTTTTGGGGTGGTTCCAGATGGACAGGCCTTTTGAACATTCTTTCATTATCACTTTGTAATCAAAATGTAAAACACATTATTCTATTTCTGATTTGTGGCACTTTCTGAGCTAACACGGCTAAGCTTGGTTTCAATTGTGTGAAGTGCTAAGCTGGATATGATGTGAAAACTGATCTCAACAGCGTGCTTGTTTGAGTGGCATGGACTGGCAGTGCCTGAATATGTGGTTGAATTTGGGGGACATAAGTTGTACTTGGCATCTGAGTTTTGGTGCCCACGTAGTACGTTGCTCAGACTGGAAAAGACAGGGGATGATGATCTGGTGGTGTTGTACTTCAAAAGTTGATAAATAACCATGTCATGAAAGTGTTTTCATGTTGCACCCTATTCAAGTAAATCTTTTGATCTCAACAGCACCACTATTTTGACCACATGAAATGGAAATTTATATTTAAAATTACTGTGTGGATTTGAATATCAGTGTCCAAAAGTTGATACTCACACCTAACAAGGTACCCAAATGTTATGGTATGAATTGAAAAGTGTTCTTTTATTTATTTGTAGGTAGATAGATAGATATAAAAAGTGTGTGTGTGTGTTTAATTTTTATTCAAATACATAGTTTGATGTGTTTACAATGTTATTTTTTTATTTGATACAATGCCAATTTAAGTTTATTTTAAAATTATGATTATGTTCACTGTAGTAAATGTTGCACACAAGTTTTAAAACATCTATAGTTTAAGTTTCAAGATAGACTCTAAAGAGTAACAATCAAAAAATTTAAGAATGCAAGTCATTAAGAATATGATTAGAATTATTGCATGTTTGTATATTTAATTTAAAGTGTCAATTATTAAAAGTAGCAAATAAATATATAAAATTATAAAAAAATAGAGTTAAAAAATTTTAAAATTTTAAATCTTTAAATAAATTTTTTATTAGATTTTTGTTAATTTTTATGAATTAAAGTAGTAGCTTAAGTTTTTTTAAATGGCTTATGAGGGGGAAAAAAAAAAAAAAAAAAAAAAAAAAAAAAACTTACCAATTACTGTTTAATAATATAAAAGAACTAAAGTAATGGAAAACATTATTGTTACCCCTTAGATACTTGGTAGAAATGAAAACGAATCCAAAATTTGTGAAAGAATCTAAAGTATGAGGATGAAAAATAAATAAATAAATAAATATTATATTTTTCTTATTTTTATTTGATCAAATCCTTCATATCATTCGTATGCTCAAGAAAATGATTGACTAATTACAGATTATTAAAAGAAAATAAAGTATAATATTTTAAGATCATACATTTTAAACATCACATCCGTAATAGTCTAGATGGTTAGGATAACTGGCTTTCACCCAGTCGACCCGGGTTCGAGTCCCGGTTACGGAGCCTTTTTAATAGTAGATGCTCTTTATAAATGTGTTTCTGACTACCACTCTCCGTCCTCTTTTTCCCAACCTTCCATTTATGAATTGTCCAATTCACCTCATTTATTTATTTCTTAAATGCTATTCTCTGACTTCATTCGTACCCCATTATGAACCTCCAAATGTTTGCGAGAGGAGGATGCATTGCGAAAGAATATTCTCATTGATGTAATTAAAATAAAATATTTAATGAAAGTTTCATAACATTAATGAAGGTTGAATAGGCTTTTAGTTTATACGAATTTCATTATTTTAGGGCTTTTTAGAATCATATTATTTCAACTGTGTTTCACAAACTAGAGCACGTAAAACTTTACGTGGTCTCCCACCTGAAATAAGTTTTTTCAAAAAACCAAGAACTTAATGTTTTTAAAAATATTTATGCATAAAATAAATATCATCACGCGCACATGGGCCATGACTCCTAGTGGAAAGGTTCGACCAACGCCGCCCAAAGCCGTGGAAAGCCGCGAAAAGACGCACTCAGACGCGAGCGGGCGGTATCGAGCGGTAGTACGGCTCAGCGCCGAGAAAGAGTTGCTCAAAGGCTCGGTGAATGAAACAGAGTCGAAGAGCGACCAACACACAGACACACACACACACACAAATTCATACATTTACATATAAATTTTGACGAGGGGACTGCACAGTGGAGGATCTGATACAACAAGGATGTGGATTATCCCGAAAGTTGAAAAGAAGAAGAGCCACGGGACGTGGATCACAGCACACTTCTGCGATGGTCCCGCACTTCAGATGCTGCGGCGATTGCGACCTTGGCCTACTTTTCAAACTCTCTCTGGTCCTATGGATAGTTTGGAAGCCGCAAATGATTGAGAATGAGCTCCAGGCTCTACCTTCAAGAGGACGCAGCTGAGGGGTACGTTGAGTGGATGCCTCGAGTGTGCACTGTGCCACATTCCGTTTACACTGCAGAGTGGGAATCAGACCACGGACCCATTGCTGGATCCTGTAGAGGAGCGAGCCATTTATAGACGCGGGTAACGCATGAATGACCACGCGATGATGCATCGGTGACCCACCGGTCTGCATCGTCCTGCAGCTACAGTACACACTTTTTGTGGGGGGAAAATGTTGACGCCTTTTAAAAGTTCCCAAGTTCCAATTCCAAGCTGGAACTGGTCCCTGTGATGAACAAGTAGTGGTGCTCTCCCGATTGGTGGGTGGATTATTCGGCCTGAAGTTCGGGAAGCATGGTATGTTATTTTTAGGAATAGAACTTTTGGTTTTATAACATTGCGAGGTTAATGAATGACTGAGCTCCGTGGCCATCAGGCTATGGTGTCCCAAGCTGCTTATAGCGCATCGATGGGTCCCGGTCATCCGATTAAGAATGCTTCGCCTCCTACTTCTATGGATTCATCATGATCGAGAAGGTAATGCAAGCGATGGCCGAGCCTAGGATTCCGCATGGTTAGCTCTACCAGCAGAAGTTTGGTTGGTTAGGTGGAAAAAAGTAAACTATTGTGTGCAGACACTTTGACCGGCGGCCATGTTTAGTGACTGCAAGGTGGCACATGCAGTGGGACTGTATATCTCTTGCTCACTCTCTCTCGCTCTCTGTGCTCCCTCTAACGGAGTTCGCTCCAGATCATGAAACGCAAAACGATTTGTTTTTTCCTCTGAATGGCCTGATTTCAGCAGTGGTGTATAACATTCTTAAGCGGGTACAAGACAACACATTTGGGACCCATAAAAGCGTAAAGGCGTTTCAAAGGTTCGTGTAGTACTATGGTGGTTTCAAACATTATGAGTGTCCATTATTTTGAGATGAAAATGAATTTTTAAAAAGAGACTCCTCCGTTAAACTCGAGTTTTGTTTACATAAGAGTCAGATTCCATCTTGAAGGGTGCACATGAGGGGTTCCGAAGAGTGGAGTGAGCATGAAGAGACATGACTGGGGCGACTGTGATGTACAGTTACGTGATCAGCAGAAACCAACTAAGCAGCTAGGAACTGGTCTGGATCGTTTACACCATGGTACCATCTTTACAGCATTGATAGAACAACTTCAGAGTGCCTGCAGTTGCTTCGGCTTGAAACTCGGGCACTATCCTGGCGTACCGGGTAAACTCGGGAGACACATCCCGAAGACTCCGGAAGCATGCATGACATGTCATGAGACATGATAATTCAATGTGGATGGTTACGCCGCAGTAAAAATAATTTTTTCCCTCAACTCATGACCCTGCTGTTTATATGTATTCTAAGCAAGCTTGTAAGTACATCGCCGAGTACGCACATTTATGAAAAGTGCTCGAATCTTTTCTATGAGCTTGAGACGTACCGTCAGAACCATGTCCTGGAATATGTATAATTTGTTTTCAGAGCTAGGAGGAAGTTCTAGAAGCGAGACTATTTCTTATTTGAGTTGCCAAGTAACACGCTGTACATCACCACTGGATCCAATCGGGTTGATCACATCCTCGCATGTAAATACTTCACGCATGCTCGGCGACTTTGACCTAATCAGTTTAAATTATAAATTCACATTTTGTTTTCTAAGTTCGGACTTGCGTACCATTCGAGCGTCGTCAACTGTTCATGTACTGTATATCTCTCTTGATCACTAAGCGTCATGTGGATTGAGACTTGCTTTGTAAGGTGTTGTGACGCCACTTCCGTTACTGAGAATTGATTTATTAATCGGCAATTAGAGGCCGTGCACGCCTGAACGCGTAAAAGCGGCATGTCTAAGTTTAATCGGTTAGGCCTCGTTAACAGGTACTGGTAAGTTAACCATGACACATCACCAGTAAACCAGTGTAGCTGAAGGGCAGCGTTAATCACACATCCTAATTCATCGGAGTTCAGCTAGGACTACTGCTCGTGTGTGTTGAGGATACTGATGCTTTAGCTAAACAGCATCACAGTTCCAGAACTGCATGCTGTTGTCTGGAAACCGTCTGAAGTAAATTTTAGGCTGTTACTGTGTCATGTTCACTGCCTACATGTTAAATAAGCTGCAATATATCCATTTGGTTGACTCCTCTTCCTCAACAACCAGATTTTCAGATGGCTGCCACTTCATACTTCGAGCAGTGAGCATGTCAATTTGAAAACGAGCTTTCAATGATAGATGGAGGCCGTCCTGGATGGATATTACTTTTGAAATGAATCCCCCACAATCAGATCAACTGTACCATCATGTGTACATTGTTCTTAAAAGACCTAGCAGAGCCATCTTGCCTTGGTCCGTATGTGTACTTGTGCAAAAATAAGCGCAGCACACGCGGTGAATATGATACTTAGTAACACTGTCCATTAGTCCGCATCGGAATAAAAGTTAAATCACTGGTATGTCAGAAACCCTACACAAATCTTTGATATTTACGAGACAGCGATAGCTCTCAGGAACAGGTAGATAAGTCTGAATCTACCTGGTACCAATTTGTTTCTAAGTACGATGTTTTTAGAAGCAGTCCTCAGTACGCAGTCTCCTTGCAAACGCACTATTCGATCGTGTCACATCGACTAACAGACAGACGCAAATCAGACATAATGGGTTGGGTTCCTAAACGGAACGCATAGTAAGAATAAAAACTCTGAACATAGAATCACAAATATGACCCCGGAGACTATAATTTTGCACGAGATGAATGAAACAACTAAATCTAAGTAAAAGACTTGTGATTGAGAGAACAAGGGAATGCTCCAGTACGCAGGCATGTATCGTTTGTTTTAAGCTAATACCTTCCACATAAGAACTCGGATAGAACTAGCTCTAAGAGAAACAATCCAAACTGCTGCCCTATCACATTCGCCTGTCAGTAGCCACTCACGCGTGACACCTAGTGACTACTTGTAACGTGTGGATCGGTAGACGTCGATCTCAATGTCAGATGGATCTTTTACCCCGATCACCCTCTATTTTGATCTCTAAGCTGGACCTCCGTCCCTGATTTATCTCTAGCCCGATTCTGACAGGGTGGATTAATTCTACCTCATGCAGGCAACTAGAAACTGTTATTACGAGTGCCTCGTGTTAACCTTCACTAGTAAACCTATTAGCTTATCATTATGATACTTTGGTGGTGGACTACCTCATATCTGCCGCACTGGAATTCTCACATTTCTTGGACTGATCGTACCTGAATAAAAAATTAAAAAAAAAACTTTTCTGCTTCATCCTGGCTGCTGCATCGAGGAATCAACTGAAATGGTGTTCATAAACTAAATAGACATTTCAGCTTCTACTTTCGGTCGATTCGTGGCACCAAAGGAGTCGCTGCACTGCCCACTTCACATTTACCAAAGTGAAGGTTCCATGTAACATGATACACAACTAAGGCCGCTTCTGTAGATGAATAGAGCTAGCGCCTAGTAGTAGCGAAAGAAATTTTTTTAACTTTGTTTTGAGAAGATGAACGTGAATGTGTGCTGGTAAAAGTGCACCCAGACACATGGATGTCAGGAAAACACTGGCTTGCAAATTAAACTTGCATTTTCAAAACTATTTTCGTCGGAGGAGTAGAGCTAAGGCTTGGAGGTCCCCTTCATGATCCGTCTGCTCAATATTTTCGCCGCCTCCACGTGGCTTGTGTATATTTTCCAGAAGGCTGTGTTGATTTCCGGACATTGGTTCGAGGCTGCTGGAGCCCAGTCCCAAATCACCGTAGTGCTGCATTCCGAGAAAGCTGTTACCTTCTTCTTTGACAGATCCTGACCCACTCGGTATCGACATGGAGATGTCTGAGGGTGATAGCTGAGAGTGCTCGTGTTGCTGCATATACGCCGACGAGGGGACATGTCCTGGAGACATGGTGCTAATCTGTTCGTGTTGTTGCTGCAGATGGTGATGGTGCTGATGATGTTGCTGCTGGTGCTGGTGAATTTGATGAACCACTGCTTGTCTGTTGACGAGTTGAGCTTGCACCATCGCCAGCTCCGCTTGTAAGCTTGCTACCTGCACGTGTACAAACTTCAAGAAATCAGTACTTACGCATCAGGTACTAAGACTAATTAGGATGGTGCCTGAATAGAGCTGTTAAGGATTTCATTTACAGGCAAAAACCACACTGAAATCTAACCCAATTTTTCGACACTCGGTTGCACGCTGTGAACTCATTGATCGAACTCGATCTACATCGCCTGTATTCTTTGATAGTAGGGCTACGACCTGTAATGTTGTCGAATAAAACGATCACACTTTTTATATATTAAAAGAAAAGGTTTTCCTCGATGAGCTATGATGGTGCTAACAACTCGTGCCTACTGAAGATTTGAAACTTAAGAGAATACGCTTACTAATGATTTAAACATAATACAACTTCTACGTTTCTCAGAATTCTACTGTTGGATTGTCACATCCATGAAAATAGATACGAAATGTACAACTGAAATCGAACCTGTGATCAGCATCTCTTGGACCTCTACAATATGTGATTCAATCTGGAATACTCTGAATATACCCAATGAACCAATCTAGACATGAATTAAGCATTATAATTGTGTTCCAACTTATTAGATTCAAGGTCCACAAGTTGTCAGCCTCCTCGATTGGGTTACAGCATTCAGTTAATTCCCTAGGTTCGCAAGTGAAAATCTAAGGATTTCACCGAGCTTTCGACACCCTGAAGAGTTCATGAATTGAGTATAACCTATGGTGCCGAAATAAAAGGGACTACTTTCAAAAGCAACCAAGCCTGAAGTTCCTATTCTAAAGCCTCCAACTAACAATACATCACTGTCAGCCTGTAAAAGGAAGTCCTCTAAATCCTAGAACAGCTCCGAAATTTAGTATACCGAAGTCAGTGTTTTCTCACCCCTCTATGTTCTCCCAATTTGATTTTTTGGTCGACCCTCTTAAAGTAAATACAGCAAAAAAATTATTTTTTGTGCTCAGTGGTAGTGTCGTGACCAGAAGTAACACGTGTCACGACACTACCGAGATGAGATACTATATCTAATGACCCCATGTTACTAGTTTTCCAGCCGCACACCTCAAGCCTAGCACAAGCGAAAATCTGGAACGACAAACTTCTTTTACAGTATTCTCGAATAAAACAGCATGGACTAGGTTGTTTCACTGTGGACTACAGCCTTGTGCCAGTTACGTGACATTGCTAACTTCAACGGTGTCCAGTTGAGGGATCGAAATCGAAACAAATAGCGTTGACTACGAAGCGGTGATCCAACCACTCATTCAAAGTACCTATGACTAGGATAGACTTAACACTTCTCAAATAAACAATATCTCAGTGATTCAACAGTGATGCTGTTTATTGAACCTTGCGCGCAGGGGTCCTCAATTAGTGACACCTAAGACAACTTCCGTTAAAATAGTGGATCTATCAACCGGTTAGTTATCTCACAATGACTTTCAGATGCTCAAATCAGTGTTGGAGCACACCAATAGCATCGCATTGTCGAGCAATAGCAATGCTGCAGCTCCAAGTCTACATGCGCACACGAGACTCATTAGGACCCACCTTTCAGATGGCGTTTGAACGAACTTAGGAATAACTTTTGGAAATAACGGTTCTTCTACCGATAGACACAGCAACAAGGCACTAGAGCGGCTTCAGCCACTGACTTGGATATAATTCGAAACGTAAAAGAAATTCTCTGTGATTCGGAATTTAAGGTGTAAGAGATCTATATGTTTCAGAGAATACCGACAAATAACAGTCTGTAAATGGTTAATCGCATTGGGTTGTTAGATGGTCAGAGGGATATAAGCCAGTGACCATACAACAATTCCTAGTTAGTCTTAGTTAAATCGATACAAATGTGACAAATTGAAAAATCTGCCTCCAAAATCCTTCGGAAAGAATTTGAGGTGTGTCTAGAGGAAGAACATGAGCTTGTTAGATTAGAAGCGCACCGAAGTTACTTCTGAGAAATAAAGCTTCTGAAACGTTCCGAAAGCATTTTCAGTTTACTTTCAAACGTATGGGACATCGAAGGTGGGAAGTTGTCTGCAAGTTTAATCGCGAACTAAGTGGAGAGACCTCTGCTTTAAGGTTCTAAATCTTGTTAACCCGAGTATCTGGTAATCGATTGCATGAAGTCAGGTTTAAGGGAATGAATGTAACGATAGAGAGAGGATTGAAGTTAAAAGTCAGGTGGTTATTTATCGCTAATCGTGTCATGCGAATGTAACTGGAGTAACCCCCAAGCATTCTACTAAGGGTCGATTCACAAAAGCTCGAAGTCGCAAGGTCAGTTCCTCAATCATGGAGGGAAACCCTGACAATTCAGCTTCCGGTCATCCAGCGATGGTAAGTCTTAGAAGTGTGCAAGCCTCCCTTGTGGACCCATTCCCGCACCAAAGATTTGCAACACAATAAACTGGATTAGGATTATGAGCGCAACTATGAACCTGCTGCTGAAGGGCGAAGATGGTGGCCACGCAACCGTAAACAGGATCCGAGAGACGGGCTTGAGCTTCATAACTGATAGTGAGGACTGCATCGCATCGCCTTGGCACTGGGATGTGTAGCAAGAGCTTCGCGACGTTGCTGGCGCCGAAAATTTTGTGGACAGCTGCGAACCTGGCTGCACCTTGTTCCGCTCCGAAATAAGGAGCGAAGATGCAACCACGAACGCACTTCCTTCTTAGAAATTTGCAGGCCCCGCATGGGGCACCACTGCTCATGGAGGTAGCGTACCTGCCGGATCCTTCCCCAAACGTCGATGAGCTTCCGCCCCAAGAGGAACGCGACCTAACTAAGCCTGTTGTTACGGATTCAAAATTACTCAAGCCTCCACGCATGTGCTACTCCTCGAACGTCCTCTATTTCTGGCCTGAACTGTCCGCTTGAGATTCCAGTCTGCCTGCACCCTAAATTCCCAACTGATCACAGTCCCTGTAACAGCCTCCTTATTCTATGAGTGATGGTTCTGGTAATTCTTCCAACCCATGAGTCGAATCCCAGCCCTCCTCCAGCTCCCTTCGATGGTTGTTGCCTCAGTTTTTCTGTCACTGCTGTTCACTAACTCGCAAAACTCTCTACCTGCCGACTGCTTCAACTGACTACCCTTACCACTTTCCCCAGGAACCAAAAACTTCGTCCCCTCGCTTCGTCTTTTCCCAGAGACGCCAACGTGATTCCCCCCTCTTGCACCCTCTTTTTCCACAAACACGAACGTACTACTGATTGAATGACCTGGGGATCATGCCACTGATGAGCTGCCTTTGAACAACCCAGCGTCCTAGCATCCACTGTCGGAGAAAGATAACTCGACGGTGGCAAAGGCTACGGGGATGGGGATGATATGCAGGCTTGACACCGAGCCTGCTCTTGTAACTCATGACACCACTGAGGTGAAACGCTTTGCAAGCAAACCATCTAGCTCGTGGCTGATCGCTGTTAACTCGAGGGGAGTAGGAACCAATTCTGGAGGCACGTATCTAGTTAAGTGGAACCCTAGTGAAAGCCAATGCAATTTTTATGGTGTCCACAGGCAATCCCAGGCGTGTCGTTACAGCTTCAGGAATCCACCCCACCTGTGAAGGTCACGACCAATAACGTCTACAATATGATTCACAATCAAATAAAGCACTTTTTCTTCTTTTTTCGGTCATGCTTGAAAGACTCTTGGTGGAAACCCTCACTTTTGTTAAGCTGGTAGAAACAGGTCGCATTCAAATAATATTAGACATGAGATACCAATCACTACATGAACTCATGAGTCTTCCTGTGCTCGTTAGATAGGCGTCTGGTGACCAATCAGTAGTATGCACTGGCGTGTAGGGTCTGAAGGTAACTGTCTCGAAGCGGATGCTTCCAATGGTGCAACGTACTTGACGTGTGCGATGAAGCTTCACGATTTGTTGTGCATGATCATTACAGCATTTGGGGTCGTAACGAAGTTATCAAAATATTAAGCTGATGCACAAAACGAGACTAGTTAACCTCACTTAATTAAACGGGGATTAGAAAGCCGCCACTGGTTGACATAAATCCGAATTCAAAAACTTGTCCTATTGGTGACGCATGAAATCGTCGGATACGTATCGAAGGCTTTTATCAAGGCACTGAGAGGTAGCTTCCGACGGTATCGGAACAGGATAGTTCGCCAAACACGATGGGACACATATTCCACCGACTCAAGTACATGTTTCGGTCACTTCACGTACACGTCTTGCGCGGCAGCTTAATCACATGCGATCCTTTTGGTGTGATCACCACAGAACTCGACACCGTTCTCGCTACAATAACCTCAAATCCTCCGTCCTTCACTTGACAGGAACCTTGAAGAGACCCCACTTCTCAACAACAATCAGGAATTGTCCATCAACTACTGAGAAACAAGCCCTGATAGCGTAGATCCAAAACTCGACCAGTAAATAGCCGTCGGCTCAGGTCTGTTTCGAACAAGCGCTAGTTGGACAAAACTGACATGGGGATGATAAGAAGAAGCTTACTTGTGATGAAGCTACCCCCAGCACTCACACGCCCCAGTTAGAAACGCTACGACTACGTCCAATCTACCCTCACTACATGACCTGCAAGCAATTTCCACGCGTACCCTGCCACGGCCCCGCCCGCCCGTCCCCCTAACAGGACCATACCGAGCCGTCACCGATCCACCGGAATTATACCAAACTGTGCGCAACGCTACAAGAGCCTTGAGTGCAACACGACACATATGAGAAAAAGAAAAGCAACACAGACAGAGTTACAGTGAGGGCGGAGGCGGGCTCCGGAGAGGACACCACTAAGGGATGAAGACTGTGGTGGACCCCACGGAAGGCTGCCTGCCTGCTGCATTCCCCCACTCCGCTGTGCCTCCTCCAGCATTTCTTCCCTGCGGCGGTTGTGACCCCAAAGCCCCCTCCTTCCTCCGCCCCCGCCCGCCCGCGCGGACCATCCCGACCCGGGCGTGGCGATTGTGAGCGACCAACAAACGGCGCCGGTGGTCGTGTCCGACCGCGCAGTTCCTTCAGTCACCGCTGCACTGGCCTTGGACTGTACAACTCCTGGTTCGCTGATCGTAAGGCGTAGAATACGGGACCCAGGCTTTTTGCCCCCTGGTTCCTGCGGACAGGTTAGCAGGGGATGCGATGGGTTGTTTTTGACGCACCCAAACTGGCAACAACATCAAGCCATTAAATACAACAGAAATTTGCTTTGCAGACCCACCCCACCCCATTCTTTACAGCGACCATTACCGATAGCACTTCAACCTCAACACTGCACTCCTAGACTGCACTGTTGTTGTATCCCACCCACCTTCGTGTCTAATTTTGACCCGGAAATGATTGGGCTCACGTCGCTTCTTAACTAGTTCTGAAATCCGTCAGGGGTGTGATGTGAGCCTACCTAGTCGCTAGGGAGTCTTTTGCTTACACTCTCTGTGAGTGTGAGTGTGTGTGAGTGTGTGTGTGTGTTGGGGTAGCACTTTGTGGTGCACACGGTTGAAGGATTCGACGGCGGGTTCTTTTTTCTTTTACCACGGTTGTTGAGGTGGTTTCAAGGGGCTGTGAATCCACCACGACAAGTTCCGGGGGGACCAGGTTGAGAAAATCAAGGAGCACAAGGACTTGTGAGAGGTTGCTTGATGCAATACAAAATCGGATTCATGTATGGGATCAAATCACGCAATCAACAACAGCAACGGTAATAATTGCCCATTATGCAGACATGATGTTAGATCCTGATCTTTGGGGGAGGGGGGGGGGGCTGTATGAGTTCCTGAGGCTTCTCAAGTCTTCCCAGATGTGTACTCCTTCCCTTAAGGAGAGCATGGATGAGCACATCGTCCACTCTTCCAAATAAACACAGCCTCTCTCATCCACTCGACATGTGTGTAATCAATGAAAGATATAATAAAACAAACAAACCATCCCCCACCACACTTTTTTGTTAAAAATATACTCTCAACCAAATCCTCGGCAGTAGAGATAACGAAGGAACAATTACATCCTTTGATTCAGGAACTGCACACAATCAGCAGCCTCGGCAGAGCACAGAATGGGAAGCTCCTCTCAGGACGAAGCCCTGACCCAGAAAGATGCCCGAGATTGGAGAGAGAAAACATGGCTTCTGCCACCCTAATTAATTTGTCCTTCCTGACCCCCTCCCCCCCCCCTCCCCAAAAGTCATAATTACACAATCCGCTATATCAGCGCAGTGGTTCAGTTCATCTGGCTGGGGTTGATTAGGTGGATGCTAATATAATCACGGATATAATCAGATATGGGGTTTTTATTTTTGTTCTTTTCTTACAACACGCATGGTTTTTCTGCACCATATTGTCCAATTGCATTCTCATCACACTCCCCTTTCACAGCATAGCTTTTCACTGTATAATTTTACCTGCTATGAGTTTCAGATTTGTGAAGAAAATGATGGAAAAATGGGGAGTGGGGGAGGGGGTGTGTGTGAAGGAAGATGTGGCCCCCTGCTTGCTATGTCTTAAAGGGAGCAGAAGAATTGTACTGGGACTCCAGAAAGGGGGGGAGAATGCTGCCTGCTGTTGCCTCATCATCATACAAGCGTTTCACGCCTGTCTGCCTGCCTCCTCTTCCTCTTCATCCTTGTCCTTGTTGGTTTATTTTTATTATTAATTTATTAACTTGATTGTTTGCTTTTTTTTTTGTTAGTTAATGAATACCTAAATGTGTGTGTGTGTGTGTGTGTGTGTATATATATATATATATATATATGCAGAGAGGGAGGGGTTCAAACATCAAAAAAGATATTGTGAGCCATGGACTTGTTGGGAATATTAGTTGTATTTGTTTGCAGCTTCTTTGATTGTTAGCTCCCCTGAACTTGATAATAGCACCTGGTCCAAATTTCAAGCAACTCAGAGACAATCATTTCTTCACCCATTATATTCAATTTATTCAACCTTTGACATGATTTAGTCTTTGACAGTTGATTTTGATTTAATAATTACATTTTTGGGATGGGTTTGTGTTGCATGACACCCACTAGATGATTATGTATATATATATATATATATATATATTTGTGTGACTTACTTTTTCTCAGTATAAAAATGTAAATTGTCAAAATTGACACTATATATGTCTGTTGAGGAAAGTTGTGCTTTGGGGCAGCTACTAAAGCTAAGCTGAGGAGCTTTGATAATCAAAAAGTCCACAACCAACTGAAGTACACTATGTTGATCAAGTACATTATACAATGTGGCTTAAAAAATTCACCCATTCTTATTTTGTTTTATTAAAATATCCATCAAAAAGTATGATGCATAAAATAATTATATTTCAGCATTTGGTTAATCTGTATTTTTTTACTTAAATAAGAGTAATATAATTACAAGATCTAGTCTATAGCATGAAGATGGGAGAATCGAATTATTTAAAAGGGGATAACTGTAATGCTTAATGTATTCACCTACAAACAAACATATTTTAAAAAATCTTGGTCATATAACTTAACATAGTTTTTCTATTTATACAAACCAATGCAATAAATAAATAAAAAGAGAGAGAGAAAATATAAAAATAAAATATTCATACACATACTTTTAAAATTAAAATATATCAATGCATCTTATCATGGTTAATAAAATGTTAAAATAAAATAAATGTTATCACTTTATGAATATTAAATTTCATGAAGATGCCTAAGAAATGACTTATTTTGTATTGATAAAATATGGCATGTAATGTATCTTTAAGAAAATTAAAAGATTGATTTTCTTGTATTTATTTATTTTTTATAAAAAAATCTACATAATAGTATCTATTTTATATAACTCATATTTTCCACAAATTATTAGGTTGTAAGATACTTAAGATGCATAAATTTTAAGTTGGAATGTTATCAAATGTGTATTTTGAAAAGAGAGACATTAAAAAGACCACATATTGTACTATTTATAAACTCTATAAGACACATATGATGTATTTTAAATCTTTGCTATCTTCCTGATAAGTAAAACATTTATACTTATTAATTTTGAGAAAGCCAAAGCACTAATTATGACAGAAAATAGTTTGCATTGTATCTGATATTGATTAAAATTTAAATTTTGTAAATAGTTTAATTTGAAACGAAAAGAAATAAAGATGCAAATACAAGCATGCTAGATAGAGAATAAAAAACATGAGTATTTTGGGATATGCTAAAACGTGACATAAAACTCAAAAGAGTTTTAAATGGTTTATAGTTGTCTAAATTCAACGAAGAAATTATTGAAAATTTCAAATTTTTTGATGTTCAAAAAACAATATAATGATTTATTGTTCAATATACTGGTAAGGAATATTTTCTGGCAATCACATCCTCAAAAAGTTATTTAAAAACTTTGTAAAAAAGTAATTTTTTGTTTTGTTTTGTTTTGTTTTTTTTTTTTTTTTTGAGAAATTAGCACAAATCTAATTAAGAAATTTTACAAATTAATCAGTTACAATTTTTTATTTTTTTATTTTTTTATTTACATGTATATCTATTTATAGCTCTGGAATACAGTGAGAATATAACTTATAAAATTAATCCATGTAATTGGCATTGTCTTTTGACAGACTATTTTTTCTTTTTGTCTTTGTTCTTTATATTTGTATGTATGTATGTTCTTTACGAATTTTAACAGTTTTACTAATAAAAAAAATTAAGAAATTTTTTCAAAATGAGGCTTTTAACATGTAACATATTAATTGTGTACTATGAATTGAAATCATTGACATTATTTATTAAAATGCATAGAGAAATAAAAATATAGTAGTTATCACCAATGTATAATGTACAAATTCTGCATTATTTTATGTTTTACTTTTTATATTACCTCCCAATCTACTCTAATCATCTTAATACCTATTAATTTATTTTCAAGTTTCAATCAAAGTACTTGTTTTCAATCACAAAATGAATGGTTAACACATGAGATTGAAACCAAAATAATATTCACTTAATAACTTACTTCGGAATATCAATATTATGTTATATTATATTATATTATTTTATAAATAAAGAAAAATACCAAAATATTATTATCCAGCTACATATTTTATTTTATTTGTGCATTGAAGTTTTTTATTGTAAACAAATTAGAAACACATAAAGACGTCATTAAATCTTTAAATTTTTCAGTATTACTAAAGAAAATAGAACAAACGTAACCTACATCAGTTTTAAAGAAGTAATAACAGCTTTCAAAGTATAACCTATAAATTGAAGCCTTGTTTATGAATAAAATGTTTTTGTTATAGAATATATACATTTGTTTTAGGAAAAAAAAAAATGTATAAATAATAAGCTCGTTTTTATTCAGTTATGTGCTTTTTGATATAAAAATAATTGTATATAATTATATATAGTCACTCATATCAATATCATAACCTTTTCTATAATTGAAGTTCCTAGATTTTTTTGCGGTATTAATAAGGCAGCATATTTTCATATTATTTTCAAACTCATGTATTAATTAATTTAATACTCAAAATGGACTCAGTGCTGGGAGGTCTATCAAAATTGGACTTATATACAACAAAATTAAGAGACTTATTAAAAAAGATGGAACGTGTTCATCATCTGACATGATAAAACTAATTTCCAGATACTAATAATACTTTGATTGATTTGGCCAATTGTTATTACGATTGCACACAAATTTCATGCTCTAACACCCACGGACTAGTGTATGAGAAGTTAAATTAATGCTTATTTTAAATGGTTGTTTTACTTGTAAATTCACAGCAGTCAAATAATTGAATGTACCTTCTTATTGTTATCTTCAAAACATTGGAATCAACTTAGCCCTTTGCTTTTTCGTTTCTATAACAACATGAAAAATATTAAAAAAACCCTACATCCTGTTAGTTTTATATATTTATATAATGAATCATTTTGTTTGAATTTTACCCTATAGACAAAGGAGGCTCCTGATAATAAAAAGAATCGAAAGAGAAACGTAAAGATGATGCCAAACTATACATTACAATTATTATTTGCAATAATACATCTTATAATAATAGAACATATTATTCGTTTTTTATAACACAACCTCAAAGTTTCTAAATTGAACGCCGAAGACATTGTCCACAAAAAAATTATATATATATATATATATATATATAGATGTATGTATGTATGCACTTCTAATAATATATATTTATTTTAATTTTAATTAATGAAGTTAGGCTTTGTTGTACGCAGGGTCTGGTTTAAGGTGTAGCTGCTCTGGGTTTGTCTGAAGATGTCTGATTGCCCCCCTCCTCTCCTTCATTTGGGAACTTGTTCCCAAGTCTGCGAACCCTCTTGAATCAACAACTACCACCACCCTCAGGAACTCTCCAGAACCTTCCATTCTCATTCATCCACAAGCTCAATCATCCGTCCATCACATATGCTCCTTTCATCTAGGACTGTATTCTTCGGGATCCTAAGTCACCAACTAAGTTACCAACTGCATTACTAAGTACTGAGTTTCAAAGTTGGAGCTCACACATCAATACATATACTCACACATACACACACACACACACAAATATGTATATACATATATGTATTTCTACAGTCTTGTATGAAACTTATTTTTAATAGATAAAATCAAGGAAAATATATTTTAATTGGATAAATAATCAAAATTCAACAAAAAATATGGAAATAGATTAACGAGATGATCAAATAATTAAAATATTGGGGTGGACAAAGCAATATTTTAATTATTTGATCATTTCAATGGGGTGGACATTGCAATGGGATGGGGGATAAGTTTGATACGATTACTTTATACTTTGTGGTGCCTTTGTTCGATAAGTCAAGGCCTGCTACTACTCCAAGATGCTTCGGGCTCGAAGCGCTGACGCATCAACGCCGATGCCACGTCACGCAACTCCCTTTCCCGCGCATTTCGCCTCCCAGAATTCGGAAACGGCGCAGGAACTGCGCAGTTGCGCCACCCATCGGTACTGCGGGACGCGGTAGTGGTCACCGCCGGAAAAGCACCCATAACCGTGGATCTCACTCTCACAGCAATCAATATATATTTATTATTATTATTATTATTATCATGTTTTGAAAAAGAGGCGGAAATAGACACGGGACATGGATATGTCCGCCGGATGAGTAGGTGGCGGCTTCGTCCAATTGGGTACGTTGATTATATTCCCTCTTGTTTTAAAAATAATCCACAATTGAGATCGACATGATTATTTGTTTTGTTTTTTTTCCCCTAATGGGTTCCACGTCACAACATATATATATATATATAATGGGATAGGCGGTGGGGAATCGCACCTCCACACGATGGATGACTTTTCAAGTGGGGTTAAAAGAAGTAGGGGGAGGGAGGGGGCTCATTTACATATACGTTTATAAATTCAAGATCTTTCATATTGATTATTAGATAGGGTATTATTTTAAGGGGGTTTGTATTTTGTTTCTCTAGGGGTGTTCTTAATATAGATGGATATGTGCCTTGCCCTTTGCAACCCTTTGAATGGCCGCCCTTTCAGCAGTTCCTGGCCCTTTTGTTGTTGGCTTTTTGCTCACATCAAGCCACTTTTTCCATAACACATGACATTCAAATTTTAAGGGTTTATTTTATTTTTCATTTTAATTTAGGGTTTGGAGGTGGATTGAGGAGGGTTCCAATTGGCACTCGTCTTGTTGTTGGATGATAAAAGGTAGGATGGTTATGGATCAAGAATCGGTGGATGAATGAATGAAAGTACGAAGGATGATAGGGGTTATAATAGCTTCCTTCCACTTCAATGACACTATTTCACATGTTAATATAAATAAATTAATACAATTGAATTATATTGTTTTGGTTACAATATGTCACATGTATTGTGTTTAATGTTCATTGTGTAAAATGATTCAGAGCTTATTTGATTAATTTAATGCAAGGATTAAAATGAAATAATTTTAATTTTAACCTTACTTACCATTGATTCATAGGATTGGAAAGCTTCAACTATTTTGATTTAAACTAACAAGATCAATTTGAAATATATAATTACTCTTTTTAATCAAATTACTTCCAATCACAAACTAAGTATATAGCTTAGACATGTATATAGTTCTCACATTGTATTTTATTTTATTTTTATTTTGGATAAAGACTTATAATATTTTTTATTTTCGATTTTTTTAAAAAGTAAATTAATCGTCCTATTGAATTTAGTTTAAAGCTGTTAGATACTTTGAAACTATCAGAAAGACGGAATTGATGTCACATCTTTGGTCACACAACATACAAAGCATTGTCAAATAAATAAAAATAAAAAATAAACAAAAAAACAAAAAAACTTTTCAATTACTGAACTTACTAGAAAATATGGATATCTGCTATTTAAAATAATTAAATATACAACTAAATAGATTCATAATTTGTAATCTTAAAATATTGCAAGCATATCAGCTTAATGAAGTAATTGTTTAAAGGACTAGTACTTTATTAACAAAATCATCATTGATATGTTTTTGTTTCTAGCTAAATAATGAAACTGAATCTTATTAAAAGTATGTGATTGAATAAAGCCGGAATTTGAAGGGTTCTTTGATCAAGTGTAAGTATTTATTAAACCTCAAAGACTTATACTTTTGCCTCATAAACCTTAATTTAGGTAAATTTAATACTTATTTATCAACGTATAGTATTTGATGTCTCATCTATGTGTCTTGGTATTGAAATCAATCTTTTGTAATAATAATATATATTTTTAGTCATAATATAAGCCTTATTTTTTTTTCTGTAATTTTTTTAAAAAATACTACATTCCACGTTTTTAACAATAACTCTATATTAAGTTTCTCAAAAAGTTGCTATTTTGTTCACCAAATCGAATTTTAAAATATGCAATTATCAACAATTTTTTTCATAAAATAAAATTTGCAATAAAAAAAATTGATGTTTAGTATTAATGAAGTGGTTGATTTTAATATTAAATGATTTTTTTTGTCTGTTATAATCTTAAATTATTAGAATTTGGTATGTTCTATTTGGGTATGTTGAAACTGTATCAAAGATGTTGGTGGTTCAAATCCCAATTGTAAAAGCATAGCCATGCACCATGATAGTAAAAAACCATACTCAATATAAAAATCATTACCTAAAAAATCATTAGTAAACTAAGAAATAATAAATGTAATAATTAAAAAATTGTAAATTCAAAAATGAAATCACTTAATCAAAAAAATAATAATTGTGATTGAACCTCATATAATACACATTTAAAAAATCTATGTGCTTTTAAAAAAATTACATATTTTTACTTTAATTATCTCTCATAAACTTTTTATCCATTTTTTATTCTTTGAACTTTTGAATTAAGTTTTTTCTTACACATTCAAATATTTTGGTCTATCAATATGTTATCAATACAAACAGTTGATAAATTGTCAAATTACTTTCAAAGATGATGCTTGTATGAATTTTGAATGTTGACCAAATTTTGCAATTATTTTAAAAAGTATTTTGTGATGTTTTGAGGAGGTATTAAGAATATCTAGAAAAATCTCAAAGAAATTATAGCCAATGTCTGTACCAAAAACACGTACTACTACATATATATATATATATATATATACTTTGAAATTTCAATTCACTGTTTGAAAAATAAAAAAACGAAGTGAAGAATCATTCATAACAATTATCATGGCTCTTTCAAATGATTTTAATAAGTGTTTGTGTACTTAAGTTTCTCTTTGATCCAATTATGTCTATATTCTATAGTCAATATTTATTTATTTATTCCTTTTTCTTTCACATTTCACAGCTGAGAATGTTATTATCTAAATTCGCATGTATAGCCAGTTTTTGTTTATATTGACCTGGTAAATATTGTGTTTCCTTCAAAGTAAAGTTACGTCATTTTATCAAATAAAAACTAATAATTTCATATGAATTGTTATGTATATATATATATATATATATATATGGTAATTAATATTTATACAAGAATATGGTAATCATAATTAATGTGGTTGGTTTTTATTGGTTGCAAATCCAATACTGGAGAAATGAATTTAGAGATCATTTTTATTTATTTATGATGGTTAGGATGGATGGGTTAATTTAGTAATAACTTGGTTCTATTTAACATTCTCATATATATATATATATATATATATATATAAAATATATCAATTACTATTTCAAAGCTACTTCCAAGTCATTATCAAATCCAAATCCCAATCAACTATTCACATATAAACAAATAAATAAATCCTTAAATAAATCAATACGCAGGGTCCAATTTCAGACCAATCCACGTCGGCAATTTCTAGAAAAGCTTCTTCGCCCACGACTGAGTCCCGTCGCTTCAAGACGTCAATGCTCACACCTCGTGGCTGCCACCTGTAACACAAAACGCACGTGGCGAAACCCGAACCCCAATGACCGACCCAGCCCTGATGCAAACGTGGCAATACCGAAACAATCCAGCTGGAAGTGGGACCCTGAATCCGCACACTCACTCCCGCAGTCGGGCATGTCCATGCTTCCCCATAGATTAGAAGCTGCAGTCTTTTATCTTCGATCGGATCCCCGCTACAACATCTCGCACCTAATCCGCTTGCGCCGAACTCTACCTCAATTCGTGCCATTGGTCTAAATCCAGCGCGAAAATCTAGTTCAGAAATAGTTCGCTGGGGGCGCTTGCTTGCTTGTTTTCTGGGGCATTGTGAAGTTTGCAAGGTTTGGTTTAGGGGAACATGTCGGGGGCGACGTTGGCGACGGGACCACGGATTCCGAAGCACGATGCCGAGACGCGAGGGGAGAAGTATGATCGGCGGGCGGGTGATACCGCCGGGCTGGGCGGGATTATGGGTTCGTTGCGCGTGATTGAGCTGCAGCTCGTCGCGTTCATCATCGTTTTCTCGGCGTCTGGGCTGGTGCCCATCGTGGACCTCGTCTTCCCGGTTTTTTTGACGATTTATGCCTTCTTGTTGAATAGCCTGGTATTTCCCAATTACGGCAACCCGGAGTCGTTGCAGGTGTTCCGGGGCAACCGATTGTTTCAGGTGTACGTGATTCTAGGGACTGTGATAGGGCTGTTCCTGCCCTTGGCGTATGTTTTGGGTGGGTTTGCACGCAATGACCAGGATGCGGTCCGTGCCGCTACCCCACACTTGTTCCTGCTCTCGTTTCAGGTGCTGAGCGAGAATCTCATCTCTGGGTTGAACATCTTCTCGGTGCCGGTTCGCGCTCTGTTGCCCATTCTCTACAGCATACGCCGATTGTTTTCGCTGAATGGGTGGGTCATTTCTACCTGGTTCACCACCAACATCACCAACGACGTCCGCATCCAGGTATTGGATCCGCGATGCTTTTGCGCCTAATTTCTCATATTTGATTATCTGAATCTACTCACTAATTTGGTGAATTAGTGTACTGAACTCCGTTGTGGTTGCCGTGTTCTCGCTGATTGTTGCTTCATAATCGGGTCTCTGTGTCATGGATCGTTTGTTGGAATACGTTAAAACCTGTAAGGAGATAGAAATTGTGTCAAGCAGAACTGAATTTGTTTCAAGGAAAACTGAATTGCAATTCTATGATTTTGCAGGACGAGTACTGGATTTGGTTTGGTCGTGTTCTGTCGGCAGCCAATGCTATCTACTACACCATCAACACATTCGGATTCCTGATACCTATGTTCTTGCCGCGAGCCTTTGAGAGCTACTTCCAGGACAGAGCAGAGTACAAGCAGGAGCACCCTAAGCAGGAGAAGACCAGTGCTGGAATCCATCTTCCATCGAAGCTACCAGTTCCATCGCTTCTGAGGAAGGACAACCCCGTTGAGGAGGACAAGAAGAAGTGATTTTCCCCGACAATTAATGTCGCTACTCATGTTTCTTGTTTGTTAGTATATAAATGATGTAGAGCAATTTGAGCGGATGAGAGTAGTAACAAATCGAGAATTTAAAGTCTATACTGTAAATACTCGACATGGGTTTAGCAAGGTGACTGAATATACATCTGGAAATATTAGCACGGTTGACCGTAAATATGAGTTTCACTAGCTAGCGTCCTGTTGTGCATTCACTATACCTTATACAATACCACTTGAACAGTGGGATTTCACATCTTCATGGTAGTTGTGTTATACACAAAAACAGTTGCCCTGTGCAAGTTACATAGTGTCAATATCACTGACTTCTCTGGAAGAATACACTGTATATTTAGACTTTGCAAGAAAGTCGACACATATCCTCAGGTAGATTTGTAGATGGCGCAAGGATGCGCTGAAGGCTAAATGAATATCGACGATGTTCGATGATGAAGGTTGAAATCTAAACCGGTTTGCGGACATCAAACAAATTCTTTCTAAAACAAATTATGCATCCAAAGCTATGTCCCCATTGCCTTGGACATCTGATCGAACCAAAAGATTAACAATACAAAGGGCTTCATTAATGATGAGTATTAAGTGATACAGCAATCTGTGAATCAACACTTTGAAAAGGTTCATTCATATCACATCGGGAGCTGCTACAATCGAATTATCTCATTGCTCAGAAAAGGCTCGGCCTTACTTTCTGGGCTACTTCTCAAGTTATTGAAAGTTTTACCTCTTCTGATCCATTTAGGTGTAAGCAAACAAAGTCACATTTTTAAGAGATGAAGTACAATGATGCCTATTTGGATTTTTGATTTTGATTTTGATTTTGTTTTGGTGGTCTTAAAGTGATGGAATAATAGGTTCAACAAGGTGAATCCTAGAACTCTTGATATTAAGCACAAAACTAATGGAAAGAGGCTCTAGATTCATAGCTCTTTGATACTTGAATGAATGGATTAGAGCTAAGTTTCTTTGATTTCCAAACTTAGAATTTTTTATATACCAAGGATTTTTAGAAGTCTCTAGAAGCTATGATTTTTAAGTGTCTTAGTAAGTGTATTAATCTTTTGCTAAGAGGTACAAACATAGTTAAGTTGAATGTATCCATCTTTGCTTTTCTTTCAAATAAATTGGTGTTGTATTTTAATGTGTTTTGTTTTTAAATATAATATCAAATTATATATTAATTTCATAAAATTTTAATTGTTGCTTAGTATTTGTGATGGTTTTTTTTCAATGATTTGTTATTAATGAAATAAAACTTTGAAGTCACAACACATAGCATCAAGAAGGTTGCACACAAAGAGAATATGGAGTAAGATGTCTCTCACTTCCAACACCCAATACTTATAGGTTGTGGTTATTGCCCTACAAGACAACTTCCACTCTTTGACTTTTACATACATGATCCTAGGTCCTAAAATCTTTTGGTATTTGACGTATCTTGAGGGTATCTTATGGACTTTAGATCCTTTGGCATCTTACTAACCACAAAGGTATCTTATGCCAAACACTAATTACTCTTACCTAGTCTTTGAACATTCCCTAGTTCATACTTTATCTTCTTAACTTTGACTCTTAGTTCTTGACCACGTCCTATATCCATAGCATGCCTTTTCTACATACCAAGAATCAACTTTTTGACCATTAGCAACTTACTTAAGATAATATCTTCTACAAGGTAACTTATTTTACTTTCATTTTTACTTCAATACTCCCACTTTGCTATTGGTCAAAAGACTTTCAATCCTAATACCTTTTTTAATATGTGATGTCTATCCTTTACTAATGCCTTCATCAATAAATTAGGAAGCATATCTTCTATTGCATAATATTTCATATCAATCACTCTCATTTCAATCTTCTTTCTTATGAAGTGATGTTGAATGTCAATGTGTTTGGTCCTTGAATGATGCTTTGGATTCTTTGCAAATGCAAGATATCCTTGGTTCTCACACTTCAATGGAGTTGCTTCCATTTGCACATCTCCAATGTCCTTCAAAATTTATCTTAGCCATATTGCCTCCATTGCACCATGGCTTGCTACCATGTACTCTGCCTCCATTGTTGACCTTGCAATTGTTGTTTTTCTTTTGCAATTCCATGAAATTCCTCCGATTCCAAAAAAGATTACATATCCCATTGTTGACCTTCTATCATTTGCATCTCTAGTCCAATCCGTATTACAATAACTATGCATAGTAATGTTATTACCTCCAAGATATAATTTGAAGTTCAAAATATCTTTTAAGTACCTCATGATCCTTTTGATAGTTGTCCAATGGATTGGTCCAGCCTTTGATATGTATTGTCTCAAAACACTCACCACATATACAAGATCCATCCTTATGCAAACCATTGCATATATTAGTGAGTCCAATACTACCTTATATGAAACATCTTGCATTTTTCCTTCAACTTTAGCAAACTCTTCTTCCGTGAGCTTCATTAACTTCAAATTGGCCTCTAAAGGTGTTCCAATAAGCTTATACTCCTCCATGTTGAATTGTTTCAATACCTCTTTAATGTACTTACTTTGGCTCATTGTAATGGTCTTCTTAGCATGATCTCTCACAAACTCCACTTCTAAAGAATAGTGAAGCTCTTTCAAATTATTCATGTCATACTTTTTTTCTAACTTTATCTTTAATCAATCCATCATCTTCATAGCATTGGTTGAGATGATCAAATCATCAACATAGAGGATGACAATCAATACGAACTCATTTGATTACATGACATACGATGAATGATCAGCTTCACTCCTTACAAATCCTTCATTCACAAAGAATGTATCAATATGTTGGTACCATGCTTTTGGAGATCGTTTGAGTCCATACAAAGATTTTTTCAACTTCAAAATAAGGTCTTGTTTGCCATTTTCAACAAATCCTTGAGGTTGATCTATGTAAATGTCTTCTTCCAACTTTCCATTTAAGAAATTTATCTTTACATCTATTTGATGCATCTCCAAATCCATTGCTGTCTTAATTGCCACAATGGTTCTAATGGTGGTGAATTTGGCCACGGAAGCAAATGTCTCATTGAAATCAATTCCAACAACTTGTGAATATCTTTTGACAACCAACCTAGCCTTGTATCTCACAACATTATCCATTGCATCTTTTTTGGTTCTAAACATCCACTTATAATCAATTGAAGATTAATTTAGAGAAAGTTGAATCAATTTCCATGTTCTATTGTCCATGAGTGATTTGTACTCTTCTTCCATAGCATTCTCCCACTTCATAACATCCGTGGACTTCATTACATCATATAAATTCAATGGATCAGTAAGGAGTACAACATTGACATGTTCTTCACTTACTTGAGGAAATATGTGGTTCTTCCACCATGCACCAAGTTGTTTTCGATTTCTTAAAGAACATCTCCTTTCACTTGGTGAAGATTCACCTTCATGCACTCCAATAGCTCTTGCAATCTTCTTTTCTCTTAAAACTTCTCTCTTCACATTTAAAGATTGGTACTCTTCATCACCATCATCATCTTCAACATCTTGATTGTCTTCATTACTAGTTTTAGCAATTGTAGGCACCTCATGATCTATCTTCTTTGATTCTTCATTTTGATGTGAAATTCTACCATCTTCTCTATTATCATCATCATCATCATCATCATCATCATCTTCTTTTTCTTCTTTCATTGTTGGGTTTAAAGATGTGTCCACAAACACACCATTATTTCCACTTGGACACATCTCCAAGTACTCATAAGCACTCTTGTGCTCCAAAAACTCTACATCATGACTTTTAATGATTTTCTTGGTTTTTAAATACATGAGTCTATATGTGTTGGTACCTTTACAATATCCAAAAAATATACATTTTTTTCATTTTGCATCAAGTTTGGACCTCATGCAATCTGGTTTCTTTACATAAGTAATGCATCCAAAGATCTTCATGTATAAAACACAAGATTTCTTGCCACTGCAAGCTTCTTATGGAGTCATTGATGTGAGTGCACTTATTGGACATCTATTCCTTGTATACACTGCATTGACCATAGCTTTTGCTCAATATTCATGCTCAAGATTTTGTACATAAAGCCTACTCCTTGTCATCTCCACAATAGTATAATTTACTCTTTCAGCAACCTCATTTTGTTGTAGAATGTAAGGAATAGAAGTTTGTCTTGCAATGCCTTGATTTCTCAAAAAATCATCAAAATGCTTTGACATGTATTCACTTCTATTGTCTGTATGCAACACTTTCATATTGCATTCACATTACTTCTCTACTAGTGCTTTGAATTCTTTAAACCTTGAAAAATACTCACTCTTGGCTTTAATGATGTATATCTACACCTTTCTTGATAAATCATCAATAAAAGTGACAAAGTACCTTACTTCTCTAAATGATGGTGTCTTCATTGGTCCACAAACATTAGAATGAATCATGTCCAACAATTTGCTTGTACGTTGTCGTGATGTAATATGACTAGTAGGTGAAAGGGTGAAGAAATATATCATGTTTTGAGGATCTCACTTCAAAAATATTATAGCAAATTATCTTGGAAAAATAGATATTAGTAAAAAGGTAGAAAAATTAAAGGTGCTAATGCTGCTTTTTTACAAATTATGCTTCTATTTATTTTATAAGGCCATAAATAAGGCAAAACAAGGTAGATTAGAAAAATAAAGGATATAGACATATTTAGGGAGGAGTTAGGAGTGCAAATTAGTAAAAATTACCTCAAGAAGAAAAAAGTTGATACCGGGAGAGGGCCGGTTATGAACTAGGGTCGAAATCAGACCCTGAGGCACAAAACCGAGTCTTAACGACGACTTCGGGACTCTTTGGGAGATCAGAGAGTGGAATTTGATAGAAGATTGGATAGGATTTCTATGGGCATTGATTTTCGGTGATTTGGAGTTGATATGACTTTGTAAGAGCTTTGCAAAGTGGAGGTTTGTTTCGGATGACTTGGGTTTTATGAAATAAAATAGGGTTACTGTTTTGAGTGATTTTGAGAGTTTTATTGCAGATCTACGGGTGAAATTTTTTGGGTTCATGATTTAGAGTTTAGGATTTGGATTAGGATTTAATTAGAGTTTGGTTAGGATTTGATTTAGGGTTTGGATTAGAATTTGGATTAGGATTTAGAGTTTGGTAAGGGTTTGATTTAGGGTTTGGATTAGGATTTGGTTAGGATTTGATTTAGGATTTGGATTAAGATTTAGGGTTTGGTTAGGATTTAGGGTTGGATTAGGATTTGGATTAGGATTTAGGA